TATTTATTTATTTACTTTTGACAACCAACATAATTTATTTTTCAGTTGGATGGGCATGGCTGTGGGACAATGATCGCATAAAAGTTTGTCATCCCTATGTTGCCTTATCCACATTCATTAATGAATGTAAAGTTTATAATTAAAAATTCAGAAACTGTAACAAAAAGATTAAAAAAAAAATGGTCCCATTCTCAAGAACTCAAAATTTAATGCTATAATTGGGAAAGGTGGAAACTTTTAAAAACTATTTTATGAGTATAAAATTCCATTGTACCTCTCACACGTGGTACATTTTGATTGGGTAATGTTACACGGGACTTTGATTGATAAGACTCCAGCTCCATTACCTTGGTCTTTTAACTATTTGGACTGAATCGAAGGCTTCGTAGACGAGCCGACCAAACTTCCTTAAAGTCTTGTTCTCATTTATTTGTTGAACTAACTAGTTTCACTTCGAYCCAGTCCCAGTCTCCAACAGRTTTCGTGACAACACGTTGCAATTCACGGTTACTTTAAAGAGTCGTTGAGGYCTTGTCGGRAATATTTTCGGGAAAGTTGCATATAAATAGAACCCATTTGTTTCATTTTGATGTATGCGAACACTCAATTATCTCTTGAGTTTAGTTCGGTCAGCTATTGACTTTAGCATCGAAGTGTGTTCTGTTTTGCTGGTTCCCTACTCATTCCATCTCCAGTTCGTTCGTCGAGTCATCTTCAATCCGAATCGAGGTTCGCAAAATTGGTCAATTTCTTGATCAAACAAATTCAATTATCATAGAATCATACTCAATAARTATTGAGTATCAAATATGAAAAATAAAATATGATATAAAATATCTTTCTTTATTAATTATATATGTATACAGATTAATTAATTTCAAGAAAACATTTTTTTATGTCCAATAATATAAATAATCAATTTGGTAATTTGACACGTTAATATATATACTAATTATAGCATGCGTTATTTAATAATTTCTAATCTCATTGACTAAAGATTAATATATTAGTTCCCTTCCAGTTAAAATTAAAGTTATAGATGACCTCCTACCTCAATCAAGTGATGTGAATCCATCTCCGATCGCAAGAGTATGAGACACGACTAACCTGCCAACGTGTCTCCAAGTAGGCAACATACAGCGTACGAATACCCGCCGACATGTCTTTAATTACAACRTATAATGTATATTCCACTGATGTGTCTTCTAATGTATGATAAGGGACATGATCCTAGGTACGRAACAATTAGGTTGCCTGATTCTTCCTTAGGTCCTTTGTAAATAACAAAACTCACCYCTCCATAGGCAAAATTATCCTTGCTCATTCGTTGCCACCTCAAAATATTGACTTAAGCATCAGAGTGTGTTTGACACATCACCCTACAGATTATGAGTTTCTTTGCGTAAAAAATGAGAAGTTGTAAATTGTTGAAATATTTTTTTCCTTTAAACATTATTCAATTTCATTAAGAATTTAATTGAATTTTTTCAATACGAGAGACAAAATTAAAGTTCTTAATATACAAAAAAAAACAAAATAAAAAATTATAGACATACCTAGAACTGAATAATAATATATTTAACCTTTATTATAACTTAAAAAGAAAGAAATCACAATAAATATATGCAACAATAATAAAAATTGTTCTCCGTTTCCATGAATTTTCACACATCACCACTATTATTATTTTTCGAAGATCATGTTACAAATAATATATAGAAAATTTCCGACTGGTAGTTGAGGATTTAAATGTAGAGCAATTTAAAGGCTTAAAAAATTATATTTATTTGGAATAATAATATYAACAAAATTAAAATAAAAAAGTTTTCCGCCCATGAGGTAGGTCAGACGGTGCCTACTACCTCGGGAGTAGCTCTCGTCCAGCCGAAAAGGGATCCGTTTATTTTTAAAGAAAAACTCTATTACGTCACTATTGTTGCAAGCCATTTCCTCCAATGGAGTTGGAGACTTTATCTTTTTAATAGGCATGCCAAGACGTCCCTCATGTCTCAACAGCACAAGATCGAGCGGGACAGACTTCTGAGACTATTAAAGTCTGATCTCAAATTGAGACTCGTCCCTCAGAGGCTCGGAGGAACCTATCTCTCAGTATCTCCCTCATTCTCACTCTAATAGAAAGATCGAGAATGACCAGAAGTGTATGGACGTTCATTCAAAATGATCCGTATTTTCAATTAGAAACAAAATGTAGAATAGGTGTGACGACGAGTTACACAATGAACTGTAAAATATTAAAATAGAGGTACACGTGACCATAAATGTTTTCAATTATGCCTTTAAACTTCAGGACAAGTTTCAATTATGCCCCTATTGTTTCCAAAATTTATACTTCTCGTTAAAATGAARCTACAAATGTGACTTTGACGATGAGTTATAAAATAGAAGTTACATGCGAGTACAAATAGATATTGGAGGATTTATTCACATTCAAAATGGTGTAAACTAGGGAGAGAAGCAGATTTTGTGGTAGAGTTTTAGTCAAAATTTTGTCGATTAAAGAGTGAAGCCACGCACTATGGAAAAATCATTGACTGTCATAAAATAAATAAAAGCCTACCCGTATTAAGTAAAGTCTGTGTTTTGTGAGAGGAACATATCCTTAAGAGAAAAATTGTGAAAAAGTGAGGTTCGTGGAATGTATGGGTTGAAAGTTAGTAGGAAAAAAAAAACGAGAAGGAAGATTTCATCTTCAATTATAAGAAATTTATCGAGTAATACATTGGCCTGTAGATTTGATTGTCTATCGATTATGGGAGGGAGACTCCATATTTTATTTGTTTTTTTGTCCCCTGCTCTTAAAAATTTTGTTTCCTTCCAAATCTTTTGATTGAGAAAGAACAAAATTTTATTCTAACCTCCTAAATAAATTTATGGAAATGATGTTTTTTTAGTGTATCTTTAGACTCAATTTTTTTACAATTCTCATGTCATATTTTTATTTTTATTTTAATGAGAATTAAAGGATACAATTATTATGAACCATTTTAAAAGTGAAGTATTAAAATCAGACTTTTTAAATTATAAGAGCATCATTAAAATTTAATGTAAAATTCTTGGACATAATTATATGTCGATATGTACTACCTCTGTCATCACAACTCATTGTTAATCACACTTTTATTTTTAGTTTGAATAGAAAAGTTGATTTAAGATACTTTTGAGATAATTTTAAAGATCGAGAGTAAGATTAAAGTTTTTATTTTATTTTATTTTAGTTTGGAGTGAAATTAAAACTTTTCAAATACTAAGAACATAATAAAAACATACCCTAAAGTTATGGATATTTTGTATAATCTTGACTAAAAGTTAATCCTCCGTAAAAAAAAGAAAAGAAAAACTAAAACTAAAAATTAATAAAGAAAAAACACCGATAATCTTTTCAAGAAAGTTAAAAGATTTATACTAAAAAATAATTTAAAAATGTAAATATCAAAATCAAAATAATTATTCGAAGTTTTTTTTATTTCAAATAATTATTAAAGTTATAACCAGCATTCTCGACCTAACTCCAAATTCTCTAAAATTGGAAAATAGGTCACAAAAATGTCTCCATCTTTGACCTACCAACGCAATCTCATCACTACATGAGGACAATTATTAGATATAGATAGCATGTGATATGTTTGAGCTTGAAATYACTGGGCTTGGATGGATAGCAGATCGGATCAGGATGAGCTATTCCAAACTGCCCAACACCTTTCCAGAGCACTCACGRCACCTGCAAAACAAAGTTGGCACTCCGACAAGCAAGTTAGAGTAAGGGTTTCTATATATAGAAACTGGGTCCGACAGGAACTCTGACACACCCTAAAAATGCGACGTGTTGTCGAATTCGGAAGGGACATTGTTACGGACTTCGCTTAAGGCCAGCTCGACCTCGTAGGTCCTACCCTAACCGCCAACCTAATCGTTTTGCAGTTAATTCTTATTTCGTGTGCGCATTAATTCAACCCGCCTCTTCGAGCATGACACGTGGCAGGCCAGGATTCGCATCCAACATGATAAATTGATTATGTAAAATCACTAATGTTAGGGTACTTTTTACCGTTCTTTTAGAGAATATTTACAGTTAAATTATAAATTTGGTCCTAACCTTTTACCATTATTTTTAATTAGTCCATTTAATCGAAATCAGTTCCGTTTAGACATTTCGTCGAACAACATGGCTGCATGTAGAACTGGAATGGCGCCTCTCAAAACAACTCAACCAAATGAGATTCTCATTTTATTAGACGAAGGAAGAAATTGATCTTAGAGTAAAAGAGAGAATACCCAATTCTGTTCTGTTCGGTTGCAAGTTGAAATTAGGGGCGYATTGAAATGAAGGATCAACTGCATGAGAAGAGCAGTGCGTTTCTTGTTTCTCGTTTTTCGTTTTCAATTTTCTTAAAAAATCTATGCATTTTACAAATAACTATGCTTCTTGTTTCTCATTTTTTCTCAAAATTATATAAAAGTTTTGAAACAACCAAAACACGTTTCTTCTTTTTTGTTTTTATTTCAATTTATTTAAAAACAAAAGTAAAAAGATTGTTTTTGTCATATTTAAATTCATAGATGTTGAGGTCATRAATTTTTCTTTTATTTAAAATGAAGGAAGAAAATCGAGAGCTATATGAGTATAAAAAGCAAGAGTAAAGTGCCTCCAAGGTAATGTATTGGAATAGATATAAACTTAGGCTTTTATAGTAATTTTTAAAGTTATATTTTTCTACAACTACAAAAGTGGAGATGTTTGTTTCTTTTTGGTTGTTTTTTTTTTAAAAAAAGATTGTTTTTGTTAGGTTTGTAAAAAAAGTGCAAACAAAGTTTCAGATTGGTTATGAGAGAGCAGGATCTATGTGTGATATATAAAATAGGACAAGTATCTCCATTGATATAAGGTATTTTGAGTGAAACCAAAAATAAAATCCTGAGGATTATACCTTGTAGTACTTTATTCGAAGGGAGGATTGTTGAAGAATTTAATCTATAATATATAAGAGAGAACAATTTTCATTTTTCTTTATTGAAAATGAAGAGACAGAAATATGAACGTTACTACCATGAGCCATATATACCCACCCTTTCTCATCTCCTCAATCATGGCCTTAGATTCCTCACACACCACAAATACCAACATATATAAAGTTATTATAAAAACCACACATAGGGACCTATTATATAGTACATAAAACTATAAATTACATAGAGAGCCATTGGTAGTCGTACTAGGCATCTTCAAAGGCTGAAAACCATGTCGAAGACTTGCCTGCCAGACGTGCTCGACATCGAACATTGCGTCGCCACACTCGTGCTCGGTCCACCCTTCCATGGCATGCACAGCTCCCGCAACGCGCCATGCACTCATCACCCGTCTTGGCAACCAATTCTGCAAACAGATAATTAAATCTTTCGCTCAGCCTACACTACAAAATTCTAACGACGTGTCGAATCGAGTGCGGTTTTAAATATTTGTTGTGAGTGCCATACCTCGCAAGAGTGCACATTTTCAATGGAAGGAGGAGCCTTCATTGCAGGTGTGTAGTGGTAGAAGCAGTCTTTGCGTACAATCTTTGGAGGGAACTGAGAGAAGGGAATGAAAATTGTTCCTTTTGGAGCCTTTAGCTGTTCTTCATCTCTAACTCCATCTCCCACCAACCATATCTGCATGATTTTTTTTAAAGAAAGTTATGTATTTAACCTTATACAACTATATTGATCTTAAAACTACTCTCTATATTCGAGCTCAAATATTAATTTGATTCACAAACACACCACATCAAGTAAGATTTCGGCTAAAAACAACTTTGAACCCCGTCGAAACTTATCGATGAAAATATATCAAAATCGAACCACCTCGATTCKGACAGCTTTTTGGTATTGGGGTTTGCGAGCCTCCAAATCATGTAGGGGTATAATTAGTATGGCAAGAGTTCGAATTCTATGATCTCTCCCACTCTAATACTACGTTAAATTATCGAAGATTGCAAAAAGAAAAAAGAAAGAGAAAAAAAAAGCTTAACCATGGAAGTTACCTTTTGAGAAGAGCCTGTTGAGAGAAGTGGGGTGGCATCAAAGTTGGCACTATCAGAAGCTTTTTTGAGTTGTTTGTAGTGTTGTTGATGCAACACAGCAATTTGAATGCCTCTTTTGGAGAGGGAATGATAAAGGGCAAAGGCCACTTTTGTAAATTTGCCTGTGAGGAGAATTTGGGTGCCAAATTTAGGGATGCTGTTCAGCACTATACCCACAGCCAAGCTACTCCCATCCACCACCCTCACTCTTAGTTTAGGGTTTCTTTGTACATAAATCCCTCCATTTTTGTTCAGTTCCTCTCCCTGCAAAATAATTTTGAATATAAATATTTATCTTTATGATTAGGAATTTGTTATGTTTTAGGAAATTAAAGACCCTATTGGTAACGTTCTTATTTTTTGTTTCTCGTTGAAATATAAGTATTTTGCAACTAACCATATTTCTTGTGTCTCATTTTTTTAGAACATTTTCAAAATTGTATAGAATTTCTGGAAACAACCAAAACAAAACAAGCTTTTCATTTTTGTTCTCATTTTCATCTTGTTCCAAAACATGAATAAAAAGATAGTTTAACCGTACTTGAATTCATGGATGTTTGAGATCATGCAATTCATTTTATAGAGAAACGGAAACAAGAAATATGAACGTTACAAACGAGCCTTAAATGACTCATTGGCTGACCTGATTCAGAAGGCCTAAAGTTAAGACTTTACACCCCTTTTGGTCCGCCTTGGTTATCGCTTCTTCAATCAAGTTGTTTGTTGATTGGGTTTCCCATTGAAGCAAGTACTGCAAATATAGACGAGGTTTAAACATGATTAAACGACCAATGAATCTAAATTTAGGTTGATGAGTCACATTAAATTTTAATCGTTTATAAGATATTTATTTTGAAGAATTAAAATTGAGATCCTTACCACAAGTTCATTTGTTTTGAAAATAGGTTATTAATACGCTAACAGAAAATAAAGGGAAAAAATCAAATGGTCTTTTATAGATTCAATTTATTTTTTTCCCCCCAAACCAGAAGACTTTTATAAAAGTATTTTCTAAATAATTTATATCCAAACATAATAATGAAGACAAAACAATTTTGTGTCACCTGAAATTTATACTTGGGGATGGCCCAGGTTTGCATCTTGAGATCGCCAAACTGGTTCCTCTCGGCGACAAATGTACGTCCATAAATCCAGGTCAGCAGCATGGACCCCATCGTTATGGGTGACAGCAACCACAGATACCACGTGGAGGTGTGGGGCCTGGAGGCCAGCGTGGCAAATCCTAACCGTAGATGATAGATGGATTCGGGAGTTGTGAGATGAGTCAGATGGACCACGTCAGCAGATTCTTCCTCTCTTTTGAGGGATTTTTGGTGGAGAGCATCTGAAGATTTGTCGAATGTGCCGTAGATGTAATCATAAAAGGGCATAAATAGTGAGTAGTTGGTTCGGAATTGCGTGTGATGCAACGAGTGAAACCTGTCATTGTAATTGTAATTGTAAATCATAAATTTCAATTTTCTCTCTCTCATCATTTTTCAAAAATTGTACTTCATCATTGTTGTTTTCTTTYAACAAGTAAATTAAATTGTACTTTATCGTTGTTGTTTTCTTTTAACAAGCAAATTTTTAACTCTAACATCAATCTAGTTCAACATATTCAAACATATATTATCGASTTAATATTCAATCATATATTATCGACTTAAAGATTGATAGTTCGAGTTTACACACTCAATTTAAAAAATATAAAGAAATAATTGGAAGACTTCTAGATGATATAATATTCGAAAAATAAGTGGATCTCATCCTTCCTTGAATTTTCATCCATGTACAATGCTTGGTGAGATGAAATGTTGCCACCTTAGCCTATTGAATGCTCTACTCCGTTCAAATAAAATAATAGATATCATTTGATCACGTTGACAAGCACATGTTAGTTTGAACTTTYTTGTGTAGTCTATTTYTATTAATTTTTTTAGGTTAAATTACAAGTTTAATCTTCTAACTTTCAAGATTGCGTCCAAGAAATTAAGAGATCTCTAATTTGTTAATTTATATCTAAAATATTAGACATTCTTTGAAATTAATAGATACGGTTACTGCACAAAGTTGAAAGGTTAACAACCTATTAAACATAAAATTGAAAGTTCAAAAGCCGGTTAAACAAGTTTAAAATTTTGAAGACTTATTAAATATACTAGACTAAACTTGTAATTTAATCTTATTTTTATTACTTTTTTTCTTTTGCAAAAGAAAATTTTATTTTATGATACATTCAGACTTCAACTTGTGATATAAGTGTTAACATTCCACCTCTAACCAAACCAACGTGTCAAGACCTTAACCAAACCAATATATCAAAACCTTAGGATTATTTTTATTACATTTCACGAATACAAAAGAAACCTTGTCTTGAATTTCTCTTTGCTCGTTTGGAGTAGAGGTGAATTTTTTAAAAAATTCGAAAGAGCAACCGACCAAAACGACATCGATCAACCAGTCTCACGAAGGATTCATCCATTTTCTAAAACTCAAAAATTGATTAAACCGGTCGGTCGACCAACGTTTAGTTTATTTTTTTAAATAATAAATAAAACGATACAGACTGCATTAAATGCAGTGCAAAACCACCCTTAAGGTTGTACACTAAATTTTAAAAAAATAATAACTATTAATAAATATCTTTTATTAGTTGAAATAATTAATTTTAAAGAACCTTAAAACATTTTTCTCACACTTCTATAAAGTATAAAAAATGTGTGCGTATCAAATTTAAAAAATATTAAAATAGGTCAAAGCGAGCTCAACGGTAATTAACGTATATCTCCCACCAAAAGGTTGTGGGTTCAAACCTCTCCCACATTGTATTAAAAAAAAATATTGAGATCGGATGAAGAATTTTTCTGTCTCCGATCCCATTTTCAACCAGAAATTCCCCTCCCCCAATTATAAGATAGAGAGAGAGAGAGAGAGAGACTTACGAGGGAGTATAGATGAGGAACTTGAGAGGAGGAAAGAGAGTGAAGAGGCGATTGGGGATGAACTCAAAGTTGCAATGTCCCATGTTGTTCATGAAGTCAATGTATGAAATATAAACAACGTAAGTTGCCACAGACACAGTTCCATTCAATACTGTTGTCATCAAAGGTATGCCGAACAGAATGAAATAAACCAACTCCTCTGCAAATGGATGGATCACAGCTGCCATATTAAATCCAATCCAAACATTAACACTTAATATAACATCAACATGGAATCCCAATATAATTACTAACACTGCTCTTAAAAAGTCCTTGATTCGATCTCCACCATTTGCATGTCTCTATATATAATTACTAGATTCAAAAAGGAAAAAAAAAAAAAAAATTAGAACCCACCCACACAGTTTTATTATTTCAAACTATACTCTCATAGCCTTTTGAGAACTCAGAAAGAAAGTAAGATGGAACTGGAGGAGAATTATTAAAAGGGGAAGGAAGAAGGCATAATCAACTTTTTGGAAAAAGTGCTACTCACAGATATTAAGATGGCCCATCTCTACATATTAGTTGTCCTCATATCCCGTCCTTTTTTAAAGGAAAGTTGTTTGTTTTTTGTTTTTCGTTTTTTTTTCCACTTTGAACCAAACTTCATAAGAATTTTGACTACTTGAGGAACCGACGATCTCGATATGGTCTATATATGAGTTGTCTTCATCATCAATTTAGTTTTTATACTTTCAAATTGGTAACAATCTGTTAATTTATGATGCAACAGTTTAGTGTCCGTACTTTAAAATTTGTAATAATTTAGTCCCTACCATGAGAAATCTTATCAAAATTAAGTGTTAATTTTTATTATCTAACAATTTAGGCTTTGTAATTCACCACCCTTCATCATTTTATCGATCTGCATATATAAGACAACTTACATGGACTAAATCCTTGTGATCTAAAGTTCAAAGCCTAATTTTTTAGGAATCTGTATGCTACAGTGAAACAAAGTCAAAGGAAAGGTTAGAAAGTGAGACTTACAAGTAATAGGCTCCGTAACAATGGAAGAGTGGTGGTGAGAATGGTAGCGAGAATAGAGATAATGATGGTGCAGAGCTCTGTGAAACCAGTAGTATAGAAACTCCACCGGACCTGCGTGTAGCAAAAACGTAATAACCACCCCATCTGTCCTCCACAGAGGAAGGTTTGAAGCTTTCGCCAATGCATTGCTTACTATGTAAAATAAGATTCCATTCAACAATATTTGGTCGTCCCTGTCCACAAACATTCTTTACTTTGAATTATGAATAAAAGATTAAATTTACCATAATTTTAAGCTTTTTGGTTTAGTAGTAGTTTAACGAATTCTTGTGTCATCAATTCTTCTGAGATTAAAATTAATAATCGCTTATGCAGCCTTGTGCTAATGTTCAAGGTGATTTTCAAGCTCACAGCGAAGGAGTGTTAGAGTATGAATAAAAGTTTGAACATACAGTAATCTATCAGCCTTCAGTTTTTTATTTAGTGGTGATTTAACGCTTTAAAAGATGCAAATGATGTGTTTAGAGGTGTAAAATTTTGACTCTATTTGCTTGAACAGTTCATAAAGTAAATTACTACATATGGATGATTCAAATAGTTGGATATGGTGCGTAGAAATGGGTTGAAAATACTGACCAATTTCTTTCTCTGTCGACTTGATCGAATTCGAGGCCCTTATCTACAATACGGGCCTTGCCTTTAGCAGTTCGATAGCGAGACACAGAGATCCAAATCTGGTTATGAATCACCCTCCACAACAGGAACGGGAAAAAGATAAGGTACGAAAAGTCCCTCTCTGTTTCATCCTTCACCACGTACTGGTAAATGCTGTGAATCACCCCAGGCGCCAAAATCGCGTACTGCATGCCAAAAACCAGCAATTACACAAATTACACCATTTCATTTCGATATACACAATCGTAATGCTCGTAGTTTCTCCTTACAATACACATCTAATCGACGAACAGCAAAACACAAAAGACGCGAAAAAAAAAAAGATTTAGCGCAGTTGATCGTCGATTAGACTTCATCAGAAGTTCATTTTAGTGGAAGTATCATCGATAAGACTTGATCAGAAGTTCATTTAGCGGAATGTTCTATCTGACGTTTCCACAAACAGATGGTGGACATGAGATGGAGTCGACAGGCAGAGGAACGTTGAGCGACAAATAATGGAGGAACACATGCGTAGAAACGAGGCAGGAAGAGAAAGGAAGAAAGTGAGAGGACATGAAAGAAACCTTGAAGCTTCCGAGAGGCGTCCATGGCCAATCGGTGAGAATCCCGGGATTGGAAGCCATGGATGCAGAATCTGAAGCTCAAGCTTCTAGGTTTTCAGTTATACTCTCAACCTTCCCCGCAGCAACTCCTTTTATAGGGGAGGATCAGTCGTCTTAACTTTTTACTAATCATTCTTGAGTTTACGTCCAATAAAATATGTTACAAATGTATATAAAGTTTTCCTTTTAAATTTGGATTTTAAAGTGATATATTTTAAAAAATTAAATACAGTTGTTATTTTGTTTTTCTCATATTTACAACAGTCCAAAAAAAATATCCTTCTATTTTATCTTTATTTTTAATATTTTTATCCTTTCAAAAATTTTAATATTACCAAGTTTTGGCTTTGCTTTTGGTTCCACCCAAAATACAGATAATTGTTCGGATCACCCATTTTCTTAACTAATGTGGGAATTTGTTTGCACTCCTCACAAACCCAACAATACACGCTCATCATTTTCGCTTTTAGTTTAAATCGCAAAAACAAACTTGATCAAATCAAAATAAAATAAATTCTTCAGCTCTGTAGTATCACCTATTATAAAGTATTGGGTTCAAGTCTTGTGCTGATCGCTATGTTGCTTAGCCTAAACAACGAGTCCCGATTATAGGAATCCATAACATATAAGTCACATGATATCAATTCCAAAAAATAAAATAAAATAATAGGTCGAGTATTTAAATCTTAAATTTAATCCTATACTAAAAATAATATGGAGTGAATAATTTTGAGTTCAATGACCAAACGTGATACACATATGCAAGACTTCTGTGGTAGTTCAAGACAGATAAGGGTTGGCTGCTCACAAGGGAGAGGCACCATCAAAACCATTATATTATTAAAAACAATTAAAAAAATGAAGAAGAAGAATGCTAAATATATGTTGTTGCTCCTAATGTTTGAGAATTTTTTCAATTTGGTTCATATTGTTTTAAAAGGTTTCTAACATTTTCATTTTGGTCGCTCGTTGTTGGTAAATTATAAACTGCTCGGTGATAAAAGAAGATCAAAGAAAATTTTGAAATTTCTACTAAATTTATAGAAATTTGGATGAGGTCATTTAAAACTTCTCTTTCTATGATCTTTACTTAATTTACTATAGTTAATTTACTAAATATCGTGTCATTAAGTCTATCGTCGATAAGTGATTAAATTAGAACTTTTTTAAATAGTAGAGGCTAAATTATAAAAAAAGGACGCAAATATTATGAACAAAAATTTATATTTACAGTTTTCAGTTACAAAGAACTATCTTGATTTGAATATGGGACATTTTTTCCACAGGAAGAACATGGGACACATTTTTTCACAATAGAACATGAGACACATTTCGTACCTAACAACCTTATCCACTTGCAATGCAAATCAACGTAGATCAAAAATGTATTTTTTCCTGGTTTTTATTATTTCGACGGAACGTTTATTATTATTATTATTTTTTTTTAGTACAACATGTGGGAGGGGGATTCGAATTCGCAACATCTTAGTTGGAGATATATGTCAATTACCGCTGAGTCATGCTCATTTTGGCAACAATTATTATTGATATTATTGTGATGATGATTGATATTTAATTTAGTGGAGTTGAGGATGTAAATTAATTGCATGGAAATGAAGAGACAAGAGGTTGTTCGAAGCATAGTATATTAATATTCAATTTCTGTTGACATGTCGATGACATTTTTATGTGTCTACGGGTTTAATATTTATATAAGTGGTGAATCGACATTTAAAAAGATTGACAAATGCGTAAAATATCGATATATTATTAATTAATCATTTTTAATTTATTTACTAAATGATGAAATATTTATTTGTTAATTTAAATATTTGTTACGAAAAAATTTAATTTTTATCATCTCTATAAATATCTATTGACATCGTATTTTATTGATATTTCCGTTGACATTTTCATGAAATTCAAATCTCGACATTTCTATCGACATCAACATTTAAAACTTTGGTTAGAAGTTTGAAGGTTGTAGATTAACTGCGGCATTCATTTTTATGGATTTCAAATGTTTGATACTTTAGATATCCAAATGCATGAAAATATAGATATCTATACTTTTAGATAGTCGTATTTGTTTTGTAAAAGTATTTATAAGGATCTCTGAAAATATTTGAATACCATGTTTATTTTGCCCAAAAATTATATATATTTTTTTCCGAAGAAACATTAACGAATGTAATTTATACCTTGACTTTTATGTCTTTATTAATTCTATATACTTGATTTATATTAAACTTAAATATTATTGTGCATAACACGTTAATTTATATTAATTTGATATTTTTATAAAATATAAAATATTAACTATTGATTCCAATTTTAATTTCAACCTTTTTTTTCCTCAAAATAAAATTATATAATTGATGACATTTTTATAGGTTAATACTTTTACGTCTTTATGGTAATATTTTTCTGGAATTTTACTCTTAGAAACACCTAAGTTTGAAGTAATTAAGTCTTGTATTAAGATTTCGTTCCTTGCCTTCAATTGGAAAACGACTTGTCAAGAAAAAAAGAAAGAAAATTATTACGGTCGTCCCCCATTGGTTGTTGGCAGATTCTATTATCAAAAATTACATGTCCATAACTTATTCAAAGTACAATTTAATGGATTTTGTTGTTTCAATGATTTACCTAAAATAAATTTGAGTTGATCCAAACCAACTTAAATTTACTATTGATTTGAAAGCCACTAATTTTACTTACTATAAAATTATATATGGATATAGTTATTTTACTTTTATTTCATTAAAAATTCTTTGTAGATTATTTATTTTCCAACAACCTTTAAATAACTTTTTAAGTTTTTTAAGTATAAATTTTCACCGTATAAATCTTCAAGTTTTTAATTGTTTTGTTACACAATCAGAATTGCATGAACCATAAGCCAAATAAACACAACTCAAATATTTAATGGTTGAATAGATTTCGTTGTTTAATAAAAATTATTTGGGTTGAACAATTCATGAACACCAGTAGTTGCCAGCCTTAAAAGATGGATAATTTTTTTAATTTTTCTTTTGTTGTTATTATTATGTTTGAGGAGGTGGATAAGGGTCTTTAAATCTAATTCCCATGGTACTATTAGAGGTTACTTTTTTTTTTATTACAACATGTGGAGGTGGGAGATCGAATTCACAACCTCATGATGAGATGTATATGTCAATTACCGTTGAGTTATGCTCACTTTGACTGGTACTATTAGAGGTTAGAGTAATAGAAAAAAAAAGATAAATAAAATAATAATAATATTATTATTATTTCGAAATAATGAATTTGGTACTATGATTTGAACTTATTTTATTTTTTAAAAAAAATATGTGGGATGCAGATTCCAACTAATAATATTTTGATTGTTAAACAGTTTGAATTATGTTATTAGTTTGAAATTTTTGATTTGATTACTAATATCCCAATTTGTATTGTTATCAATGTGGCCTGCTATCTACTCACCTGGTGATAAGCTAGGTCTTTTTTTTTTATTGTGCTACCTGATTATAATAGGGTTTAAAGTGGATAAAAAAACATTAATTTTTGTCCGTATAGAGACACGTGTGAAATTTAATCAAACTATATGAATTAAAATTGAAATTTTAACAATAACCAATTGAAAATAACCTCGAACACAAACACATACCAAATGGGCAGTTTAACATTTTTCTTATTTTTCTTTGGATTATAATGTAAATTTGTCATTTCGACCTTTAGATTTGTGTTTGCTTCTTCTTAAAAAGTTTTAATTATATTTTTTAATTTCAATTTTGTGTTTGATAAGTTATTGTTTTGTTATTGGTTTAACTTTACCCACAAATATAAGAATATGTTTGCGTGGCAGTGGCTGAAAAATTAAAAAAAATATATTGTGGGACCCACTTGCTCTGCCAGCTAATCAAAATAATAAAATGAGCATTATTTTTTAAATTAGTTTAAATGTTGCAATATTTTTGGAATTAGTTTCTGTTTTAACAATATTAAACAAAAAATCTCCCACATGTTGCCTATATTAATTAAAATTATGTGTAAAATGACAATTAAAAATGTAATTATGGACAACTAGACAAGCTAATGAAGGCGCCAAAGTCCATTTTGTAGTTGCGGCTTGTGAAAAATACTTTTATAATCCATTTTATTTGCAATTTCGTCCCAAAATTATTTCACCCTTCAAGGTTCTCTAGTTACCACGTGGCACCAAATAATTTTTAACTAATACATGTAAGGTAATATTTATGGTTTTTTTTAATATAATTTAACGTGTGGAATTTAAAATTTAAAATTTATAAATTTATAACTTTTTAGTTTATGATATAGGTTAAAGTTCACGAAATTTTATGTAAATAGATGCAAAAACTATAAAATTTGGAGATATATTGAATTTTTTGAAAATTTATATAGTCAATAGGCATAATTTTAAAACCACCACATTTTAATTTAATTTTCTTCTAATGAGAACTTAAAAAAAAAAGAAGAAAACATTTTTTTATGACATATGGGTTTAACCGATGGAATTTATTTAACTATCAAAGGAAGTTTACTCATCCAAAAGAACTAAGTTAAAAAACAAAAAACTTTAGAGGGAATGAATTTAAACTCATGATAACCACTTACGTATGAATTAATTTTCATTTGTGATATCATTGCCAATACTAACAATATCTCATAGACAACTGTCATTCTTCTAATATGCAACTGTATATGCTTATTCGAGCAAATGCATCCGCCACCTGATTTCCTTCTCTTATTCTCCTTAAATTTTTACTTTAGAGTAAATTGAAAAAGTGAATTTATTCAATGAACTAACTTATGATTTAATAAACTTTTGNCTCTTATTCTCCTTAAATTTTTACTTTAGAGTAAATTGAAAAAGTGAATTTATTCAATGAACTAACTTATGATTTAATAAACTTTTGCCATCTCAGCCAAGAAAATGTTCAGTTTATTATTATTATTATTTTTTTGTTAACTTCTCATTTTAAAAAATAATTTTTTGTCAGGTAAAAGGAAGGTTGATGGGAATAAAAAATGTGAATTTTCCCAACTTCAGATACAAGAATGAGTTTGAAAATAACCAAAGTGTAAATTAAGCCCCATATAGGGGACTAAAGTGCATTTTAAGAACAAATAATTATTTTTAAAACTATAAAATTTTAATTTAATTTTCTTCTAACCGGAACTTAAAAGAAAATAAAAGCTTTTTTGTTATGACAAATGGGTTTAACTGAGAATTTATTTAACTTATCATGGTATACGGGTCCTCATGATGATCAGCTATGTAAGAATTAATTTTTCGTTTGTAATATCATTACCAATACTAGCAATATCCGATAGGAAAGCACCCATCCTTCAATAATATGTAATTTTATGTTTCTTCGAGCAAATGAATCCACCACGTGATTTCTTTCCCTCATTCTTCTTAAATCTTCACTTCATAGTAAATTGAAAAAGTGAATTTATTCAATGAACTAATGTCCATTAGACATGATTTAATAAACAATTGCCATCTCAGCCAAGAAAATGTTCAATATTTTTTTTTTTGTTAACTTCTGATTTAAAAAATAATAATTTTTGCTAACTAAGTAACAAAAAAGTTGATGGGAATAAAATGTGAATTTTCCCAACTTCCGATACAAGAATATGTTTGCAAACAGCCAAAGGGTAAATTAAGCCCAATATAAGGGACTAAAGTGTATTTTATACAAAGAAAGTTAGGATAATTAGAGTGTTTTAGGGTGCGTTTGGTTGATAATGAGAAAACATAAATTTGAAAACGAGRGATCCAATAAAAACTAGGGTTGTATTTTTTGTTTTCAGTGTTTTCATATATGTGTTTGGTAGCAGATTGGTAATTGAATCTCAATTTAAAAAATTGTTCAATGTCTGTTTAGTAATATATTTGTAAACTAGAAATAGTTGCAAACTAAATTTTAGTTTAATCTAAAAACTTATATTAATTAAYTTATTAACATTTTCTTTATGAATTTTGTATAATTGTTATTTTACAAGATTRTATAATTTAGAATACATTATATTTTACATGTTTTAATTTTAACACACATAATATGAAGTAATATATTTATCAAAGTTTTTATCATTTTTAATGTAATTCTGCATCTTAAAACAAATATCTGCCAAACACGTATTGGCTGGATCCAAAATCTAAGTGAATCTGAAAACAAAAAACAGAAATCGAATTTCCAACCAAACAAGCCCTTATCTACCTACCGATTTTATGAGAATGAGCAGAAACCATTTATTGTCAAGCACGCTCATGGACGAAATAGTGACGAAAGAAAGAAACTCCAAACAAACAAAATTGTAAACTTTAGGTGGCTCTTAATTATTGTGCGGCTCTTGCGAAGTTAGGAAATCGTACCATAGGTCTCTTTATTAGCTTCTAGCACGAAATTCAATTTCTCTCCTATATTTTCTATCTTGTTTGGTCCTCCAACTGATAACTTTTGCGATATCGTATCCCATGGGTGAATAGAAAGTTGGATCTACATTGGATAGATGAGTTGCAGTCTATAATATGAATTGAAGGTATTTTTTAAAAATAATTTAACGCATGTTTGGTTGACAATTCAGATTATGCTTTTTGTTTTCAGATTCACTAATCAATCTTGATTCAGTGAATATGTGTTTGACAACGTTTGTCATATTTGTTTTTGAAAATTCTTTTCGTTGTGATCAAAACAGTGGAAATTCTGAAATCAATATAGTGTTTTCATTGTTTTTAGATTTTAGATTTGAAACTTTTCAAAATGTAGAATTATATTAAAAARTGATAAACCTTTAATAAATATATTATTTCATATTATAAATTTATTTTATATTTTTTTTTAATTAAAACGTTTAAATTGTAATATTATTATAAATTATATAACATTGTAAAATAATAATTATAGAAAATTTATAACAAAAATGTTAATAAATTAATTGATATTATTTTAGATTAAACTAAATATTTAGTYGGTAACTACTATTAGTTTACAAATTGGGAAGTATCCTTGGCCTATGGATTTCTTAACCTCGGGTCAGCCAAAGCGGCYCCTTCAAATCGGGAAGTATTCTGGCGGGTCTACCTAGTGCAGCGCGAGCTRGAAGGATCTTTCGAGAAATACCTGATCGAGGGTTAGCGGATATGTTTTCATATTGGGTTTCRGACCTTATTCACTCGCCTTATAAGAGCTCGCTCGATCTTATGATCCTTAACTTGAAATTCAATTTTCAAATCTGCTACCCAAACACATATTTGAAAATAAAAAATAAATTTTTTTTTTATTGAATTCCTTGTTTTACATTTATGTTTTCGGATCACCAACCAAATCCACCCTTAATTTCACTGTATTGTTTAGATGCATTAACTAAAAAAATGAAATTTTTCTATCCCCATCTATTTGCTAGAAACAATTGGTTTCTATTGGTAGGTCGAAGGGAATGGGCCTAGATCACAAGCTAATTAAGGCCACTAAGGGCTCATTTGGTAACAGTCTCGTTTACCATTTCTCGTTTCTTGTTTCTATTTTTTTTTAAATTAAAAACAAGAATATGTTTGTAATCATTTCTGTTTCTTATTTCTTGGAAAAAAGAAATAGAAACAAAAATATGTTTGATAACTATTTCTGTTTCTTGTTTCTATTCTTTTAGTTAAATAAAATTTAGTAAATATAATATAAAAAGATATAACATAGGCTCGAAGAATAATATTTATTAAAAAATATATAATTTAGAATATAATTTTTTTGATATAAAAGTATCGATTATTACCTTAAATAAAGAATAAAATTTCAAATTTTTAATTTTATAAATATAAATTTTTTGTTTAATARAATATAACAAGTTTAAATAAATAATATTTAAAGTATAAATTATTAGTTTAAATAAAGAATAAAATTTTTAAATATTTTTAATTTAAAAAATATAAAATTTTTTGTTTAAAAAAATATAATAGCTTTAAATCAAAATAAAATTTCAAAATATTTTAGATTATAAAATATAAAATATAAAAAAAGGAAAAAAAATAGTAAAATAGTAAAATTATATAAAAATAGGAAATTTTTTGTTTAAGAAAATATAATAGTTTTAAGTCCAAATAAAATTTCAAAACATTTCAGATTACAAAATATAAAATATAAAAAAAGAAACTAAAAAATTACCTTGGGTCGAATTCTATCAACCTTGTACAAGGGCGGTCATATGCACCACCAGATCATTGAATACTTTTTCAAAACCTGACACACATATATTATTTAACTTGAGACAACGCCTGCACACAAAATAAAGAAATAAAAATGGCAAAAACGAAACTATTTTTGTAGTTTAAAAAAATTGGTCCCTTTTTTGGAAACGTTTCTCAAAATTTAGAAACGAGAAACGAGATTGGTTACCAAACATGTTTGTTTCTCCAAAAATGAAAAACAGGAACAAGAAACATGAAATGGAAACGTTACCAAACGAGTTTTAAATRACTGTTTAGAGACCTTTTCCTACTACGAACTAGTCGGACTAGGGAGAGCCACTCATCTTGGAAGAATTTTAATATTTGTTTTCAACCAAAAAARATTAAATGTTCAACCTACATTAATGAATCATAAATTTGAGAGGGTGTGTTGTGTTACACAAGTTAGGTATGGACATTTTTGGTTTTAAACTCCAAAATAGATGTATCATATTTAATGTGTGTGTACATATCAACTCATCCAATCTGAATGAAAAAGAAACTAATTACCTTCTTTACCATTGCATATGTCCAGTAGACAAGACACGTTTTCATATATATACATATAGTTCGAGTCTAACCAATAAGAAAGTGAAGATTTAAGCATCTACCTTTAAGGAAAAGTACAAATATAGTGACTACTTGTGACGCCCTACTAGAGATGAGGGGTACATGAAAATGAGAGGRATCCTGAGATYATGGAAAAATGGTAAATAAAAAAAAAAGGCTTAAAAGAATTGATAGTCAYTACCTATACTAACAAGCTGCACCTTCATTTTCGGTGGCTAAATAGTAAAAACTCCAAAGTTAAGCGTGCTTGGGTTGGACGACCCCCTACTAGGAAGTATGTGAGACTCGTGTTGGTTAGGGATAATCTACGCTCTTCTAAATATCTGAGAATAAGATGGTGGCTCCTTCCCTAGAAATTGAAGTTTCAATCCTCCGTACCCACATTTATTGTGCTAGAAAAAATTAGRCTTAATTTAGTTATATTTTTATATTTACATTTGTTTATCAATTCAGTAAAAAAACAAAATGTTGTGTATACAATAATTTTGAAATTGTTTAACACGGAAATTTATATAGACGAATAGAAAATTTTCGTTTTTTATAGGAATCAATTATACATTGAATGTAATTACCCACATAATTCCTTTGCAAAAGAAATATATACACGRAAGAGGGAACATAAATTAACTGGATCGGACCTATTGGGCTTGAGTTAAGATTGGGCCGTTGGCCCAGAAGTGAAAAAGGCCTAAGAGAGAAAAGCAATAAATGGAAAAGAAAAACAGAAATATAATAAAACAAATATTATGTTTTGGCGGGAATCAATAGAGCGCGAAACGGAGTTCTCCGCCATTGTCTTCTCTGCAAATCCTCGGCCGACCTGTATCAGTTTCTGTAGTAAGTTTTTCGCTCCCGCCGTTTCGCTTTTTCTCTTCATTCATYGCTGATGTTCAAATCTGAAGTGTCGTCTGTGTAATCTTAGGTTTGTTTCTGAATCTGTAATTGTTTTTTTAGTTTCTTCAGTTTCTCCCGAAGACGATGAATGAAATGATAGAGGAGGTAATTATGTTGATGATCGGACTTGAAACGTTGCGTCTAGCAGCTTTAATTTGATTGATTTGTGTTGCAAACTTGTTCTAGGGTTTCGTTTTATATTCCATAGATTTGTGTTTCGAACTCTTCTTTGTCCCTCTTACAAACATGTTCTAGGGTTTCGTTTTATAGTTGATAGATTTATGTTACGAACTCTTATTTCTCCCTCTTACTCTATTCCAAGCGATACATGGTTAGGACAACGCACAAATCTCTCTCTCACGGTCACTTTGCTATTCTCTCCCCCTCACCTCCTAGTTCCCTTCATCTACAGGCCTCGAGCAGCCGACACTACGGATTCTTTTAGCAAAAATGTGGCGGGCGAGTAATATGGTTTATGGAATCTTGATTGTCTAGATACTCGAAAGGCCTCGCACACAATGTTAAGGTCAATTGGTTTTTGTTAGATACAGAGAATTAAGATCTACATTTTTCATTATCTATCCCAATCTTGTGGAAGCCTTCTCATGGTTGCGTTAGGTTTTATGGCTTTCTGTATATACAATATTTAGTTAGTTCATGACTATTCAATGTTGGGATTAATGGTCATCTCGACAAGTGGTTAGACATAGCCCACTTAATACATTTTGATTCATTTTTGGAAGATGGAGCAGCAACTTCCGAATGGAAGTGGAGCCGATGCAGTTTTACATCTTCGGACAAACTCCTCCATTTCTATTGCATATCATTCACTCTTTGGTCCACATGATGATTTAGTCCTCCTTGAGGTCGACGAAAAGCTTCTGGAAGAAGTTCTCCACCAACGGTAAACAGGGGTGGCCTTAAGTTACTTGCTAATCTCTTAGAACTATTTGAATTGGTCTAACTTTGGGGTTTTCTTTTCTCAGAGTAAGCATCAGAGGACAGCCAGAAGAAGATGCCGTCTTTTGCACTAAGTCAAAAACTTATGGAATAAAATATGTTGGAACTTCCAATTCTGTACTCCTCATACCCCCATCAGGTCGTTTGGAATATTATGAGAATGATCTTGATAGCCATGGGAAGGATAGCAGTAGGAAAGTTGCATCTGTGATCAAAGTTGCTCCTGGCATCATGGAACTTGTTGAGATTGCTCCCAGGATTGATAAGCTTAAATTGCTTCTCTCAGAGAAACCTTACAGCTTAGCCGATGAGTGGGAAAGCGATGAGGTGGACAAATATGAAAAAAAGCTGTATAATTGGGATGATCTTATCAACAAGATTCAAGCTAGCGATGATGAAATGAAAGCCGGATTACAAGAACTTTCTGCGGTTGAGATTGACGGGTACTGGAGAGTTGTGGATGAAAAATACATGGACTCCATACTACAGATGCTTTTGCATAACGCAGTTTTGAATGACTGGTCACTGGACGCACTTAATGAAAATGAAGTTATGAAAGTTATGGAAGTAGATGGCTTTCCTGAAAAGCTTGTGCGTCATTGTCTCCATGTTTATGGCGATAAATTGGATGAAGATGAGTGCAAGAGCTGTTTATGGAGATTGGACCAAAAACGGGTATGTGTGCATTTTGCAAGAGAAGTCTTGAGGAAGGGAAAGATGAAGTTGGAGAGTTTCATGGATGAATGGACACGGAAAATCCCACTAGGAATGCGTGCTGTCTTTGACCTGTTGGAAGGTGAAGTTCTGACTGAGAGGATCGGTGTCGAGACATGGGTTCGCGGTTTCAGAGTTTCTTCATTGCCATCAAATCCCGCTGAGCGTTTCTCCATTTTGTTTAAAGAGCGACCAAAATGGGAGTGGAAGGATCTGCAGCCCTACATCAGGTTTGTTTGTGTCTTATTGATTATTTGTTACTTATACAGAAAGTTTTAACAACTGTATTGTGATTTCCAGGGATCTTACCGTTCCAGGTCTTTCATCAGAGGGTTTGCTTCTGAAATACACCCGAAGAACCCAACCGAACCCCAATTCAGAACCTGTGTTCAGTGCAAGATGATGATATGATGTGCCATGGCCTCACTTGCTCCTAATGACAGGTTTGGTAGATTGTTCAATGTCACATCTGGCTTAGGCTTATCGTATTTATGTACCCGAAATCTTGCAGTTTCAATGGAGAAATCTACTCGATCGCGATCACAGACGACGTTATAATAAGTACCCTTTAACTTTGCATGGTCTAGAGGGCTCCATTACTCCCAGAATAGAGATCCAAAGGTTCCCCATTATCAGAAGTCTCTATTTCAGTTTCAGGCATGGAAAGGGAAACCTTGAGGAGAAGCAAATTTTTAATGTGCTCTCAGAGTTTGTATAAGTCAGATCAAATGGCTATTGGAAGGTGAAAGTAGGGAAAAAGACCTGCTCTAAAGGTTTCTACTTTCTACTTTCAAAATTAGCCTGGCCCTGTACATAGTCTTTTGAAACAAATTGTGTGTGAGAAATGAGAATCAAACATTTTCATGAAATTTTAATATCTGGTTGAAGTTTTGAAGTTCTAAATTTTCAACGTTTCCTCGATGTCATTGTCAAAATATTATAAATAATGTAAAATAAATATCATGAGATAATATTGAAAACGTTTAGAATGAGAATTTTGTAAAGCAAATGAGATATATTGTCTTTATTTAAAAAATAAAATGGGGGGTGTTGGAATTAAGTTGTTGAAACTAAATCGGAGGTTTCAAGTAATTATATGGTAAGAACTTTCAATTAATTAACTACTTAAAATATAAAAATAATTTGCAGTCCAAATAGTTTATCAGTACATGAATATGTTGGCGTGAGGTATTAGAGGTTCAAATCTTCACTTTCATGCATAATGTACTATTATATAACTTTTTTTTTTTGTTGGTTTCACTTGTAAATATTATTTTATGCTTGTGACATAAACATTATTTTAGCCGTTGAAATATTTATGTTAAATAAGTGTAGGTGAGGGATTTGAACTCACGATCTTTTAATGAAGCACAAGTGCTAATTACGGTTGAGTTAATCTATTTGTGAAAATTTTGTTGAACTGAGAAAAAAAAATAATTACGTAAATATTATTAAATTACACGAACTTCCTAAAATTCTTCGCAATCAATCAATAATTAGCATATTAGCTTGACTTGATAAATTCATTTGAGCTTTTCGGAAGCCCATTAGAAGTTTCAACAGTCCAAAACCCTAACATTATGGGCTTAAATTGGGTCAATCAACCAAAAGCCCAGCCCAGCCAGTACAGTTGCTGAAACATAAGTTTTGGCGGGAAACCAAAAGTCACTGTATAGTCATATAAATAAAGACGGCGTCTTATCTCTCATCCTTCTCCGATGAACGTCCGATGCCGGTTATTCAGAGGAAGGCTCAAGAGCTTCACTTGTGATATAGCCTCGCCTCGATCACCATGCCTCCAAGGAAGAAGCCTAATTCTTCTTCTAAGAAGCTCAATTCAAATCAGCAATCGCAGCCTTCCAAGTTCGGCATCCAACACTTTTTCGAGCGCCACTCTCAGAATGTTGCGCAGTCACAAAAGCTCACTTCACGATCTTCCGATTCGAAAACTGATGTTTCTAACTCTTTGAAACGTGGAGCTGATGATCTGAATGCGGCAGCGGTTGATTCAAAGGGCGCCGCTGCGGCTACGGCAGCTCAAAAGTCAGAGTTGCGGGTGCTCCCAGTGAATGATGCAGTTTTAGCTTCTGAAAACCCTAAGGTACCGCAGGGGAATGATGCTAGCTGTTCATCTCTGAATACGACGCCTGAGAATTTGGTTACGGCTGTTCGGAATGATGGTGATGATCATCCTAATGAGGTGTCTCCACAATTTTCCAAGTCCGTGTCCCTGAAGCGCTTCAAGTTCTCTCCGGGGATGGTAACTTTATAATTTTTTTCTTGTTGGCCTCTGTTTTTGTTTTAGAATGTTTAGAATGAATTTTACTTACGAGAGTAACAATGGTGAATAGCTGATAAAGCAAAGTCAGGATGATGGGAGTGATGAGATCACATGGAAGATATCTCCAGTAAACGTAAGGCTTCAGGCTGCTTCAAAGCAAACGCCAGAAACTATAAGAGTTCTGGCGAATTCCTCGAGGCTCAGTTCTTTGAGAATTCGACAGTGCTCACGAAATAAGGTATTGATATTAAGTTCAAATTGGTTATCTTGACGCAAGGATTCACTAACAATGATCCATACAGGCTTCTTCAGTAGAACCCGAGAATTTGGAGCAGTTAAGTTCACCAGAGTTGAGACCTTGTCAAAGATCAGTGGTTTCGTTAAATAAGACTGGATTGAAAAGGTTAAATCCTCAGCATGATATGGAACCTAATGGAGTTGCGATTGATAGTTTGGGTGGCTCTGGAGTAAGTAACAGTCAGAGTCCATTCCGGACGCCCCCATCTTTGTCATACTGCGATAAGGTAACAGTTACTTCATAGACTGTATTTCCTGTGCTTGATAGGTTCTATGAAATTGTCAGTTACAAATGTTATTATGTTTCTGCCGGGTGGACTGTATAATTCATATACTTTATGCCCTTATTGATCTGTAGATTGCCAATGGCGTTGAATGTAATGAAGCACAGAATCACCCTACTTTAAGACCGCACAAAAAGGTATTAAGATATAATACTATTTGTTGGCCTTTATGATTTGACATCGTTCTGTTTGGTCCAAATTCCAATCAGCAGCCTTACCTGGTGGATGATTTTCCTCATTTATTGAACTAGTTATACTCGTTAGTCGAGCAATTTTGTTTTTATATTTACTTTACAGCTACATTTGATGCATTATTGGTTCTTTATCTTTGCAGGCATTGCTTGATCTTTTAGATCAAGTAGAAGATGTCATTGCTGTTGATACTGTGGCTTCCATCGACTTGGGGGTGCATTCATCTAAATTAAAAGGTAGAAATGGTAACAAGTTGACTACTAGAGTTGATTCAGCAACAACGCAAGTTACTAAAAGTCTTCCAGACACAGTGATAAAGAGACCCCCTTCTGATTTTCTTGTCTTGGAGGTATATTTCACTTTTTCAAACATTGTTCATTTTCAGGATTGCGCATCTTTTAGTTGCTTGTTGATTATTTGATATTAACACATTGATTCTATCTATTCCAAAGGTAACTGAGAAGTGTGAGCTGGATGCTACATCTGGTGGTAGACGCTCATATAAGGTTTCTTCTAAGCGTTATTCACTGATTTCTACATTTCCTCACTATATCAAGTAAATTAATAAAGGTAATTAATTAATTTCAGGTTCTTCGTCTGCTAAATGAGCAGAGTGGAGAAGAACGGGCTGTATATCTTTGGGAAGACTGGTAAATACATAAATATATTGTGCTGCTGAGGCATGTAACTGTGCTGCAATTTCTAACTGTAAATTATACTGTTTTCTCGTCACACAAAATCAAAGCCTAAAATCAACTTGAAATCTGACCAAAAAAAAAAAAAAACGTCGGAAGAGTATATTTGCTCTTTCGTGATTAACATTCCCATTTTTCTTAATGAAGCTTTCTTAAATACCTTCTTAGTCTGAAGATCAGATTGCATCACAGTAGTAGTGATGAAAAGCTTGTTGTTCCTTCATTTCTGTTTGACTCCAGCATGTCCTCAGGAAGAAACGAGACTTTTACTTGTTACCTTCATGAGATTGTTTCTTGATTTTGAGTTCAAACTCTAGATCCCAATAAATGACTATTGAATCAAAGACAAAGACTTTTATTTTTACTAATTATTGTTGTCTAAAAAGTAAAATTAGAATAATAGTTTTGAAACCATAATCTCTAATCTTCTTCTTGAAAGCCTTTCAATACTGAAGGTGAATTTGTTTATTAGTTACCTACAGTTTCTGGTTTGAATTTTCTTTTCCATTTGTTTGTCAGGTTTGACAGTATTATTGCACCTGGAGATGCTGTGAATGTTATTGGTGAATTTGATGACGAAGGAAGGTGTCACGTTGACCATGACAATAATTATGTTATCCTACACCCAGATATACTTGTCTCTGGAACTCGGGTAATGTAATTCCTTTGCCAAGTACTTGGCACCTCACCCTGCCTTTTGGGTCATGGTGCCTTTGAGCTATTGAACAAAGTTATGATTTGGCAATCATTCATGATTAATTGTCATATTTACCAATCCCAAATGATTTCTAGGTTGCTGGTCATTTGACTTGTCCGAGAAGGAGTGTTCTTGATGAGAGGCTGAAATGTAACGAACAGTCAATTTCAGCATTACTTGGTACTTTGCTGCACCAGATTTTTCAGGTTTAAAGCTCTATCATTACCTATTACTAAGAATAGATTCACAGATACAAAATTATTAATAATACACTCGATGTTTGTATTTATTTATCTGTATGTGTTTATGATTGTCTTTTTAATTCTTCTTAACGCTCAAGCTTTTAGCAGTTACCAATCTAGCACATTTTAATTCATCTTGCTTTGAAGGCTGGTCTTATGGAAGAAGCACCAACTGTCGCCTTTTTGGAAGAGGTTTCAAGAACGGTGCTCCAGAAAAGTATGGAAAACGTGTATGCATGTGGAGGTGATCATCTCTTTAATATGCATTCTTTTGGTCATGATGGTCTAGAGGCAAAGGTGCAATGGATGGCTTTTAATATCTTTTAAAAGGGATGCAGAACTTGCTGTTATGGAAACTTTTTCTGCATGTATATATATCTGCCTCCATTCCATGCAAATGGATCTAAAATACGGATTTTTTTCACGTTGTTTTTTCCAGTGTTGTTGAAGCGCACCCGGGCGCTCGCCTCAGGCGAGAGGCGAGGCGATTTCCCCCAGGTGCGCCTTGCAAGGTGCCCAGGCGAGCGCCTTCAATCGGGCGCTCGCCTTGGTGCGCCTCGGTGCGCCTTTGTGCGCCTCTCGCCTGAGGCCAGGCGATCGCCTCATTGAAGTGAGGCGATCTGCCTTATTTATTTTATTTTATTTTAATTTTTAATGTGTTTTTTTTAAAAGAACCTTTCTCCCTCGCGAAATACCTCAGTCCACAAACCCTAACCATTCTCTCTGCCTCTCGACATTCACCTTCACCACCCTCAATCTTCGGCCATCGCCCACTCCCGTCTCCGATCATCACCGTCGCCGCTCCCGTCTCTGACTAAACTTATTGCATTTGGTTGTTTTATGTATCTTGTTGACATTTACTATGACACTATTTTGGTATTTATTTTTTAAACTATGTTTACTATATAAATTTATGCACTATATATATAATTTTTATTTATTTATTAAGGTGCGCCTCGCTTCACTCGGGCGTCGCCTTTGTATCGCCTCTCGCCTCAAGGCGATCAAAGGGCTTGTCGCCTTGAGGTGCGCCTTGCGCCTCGAAAATACTGGTTTTTTCCACTTTTGTTTGAAATGCTACACCTGAAGTATATGACCCAGTAATTTGGGCGTTAAGGCACACTGCCTAGAACTTACGAGGCTAGAGCCTCTAGGCCATTCGATTAACTTGTCGGATACTTTATGAAATGAATATGTTTCCCTTAAAAAACATCTCATTGGTACTTTGAATCTTTGCTTCAGCTAACTGCAGGATCAGATTTCTTGCATTATTGAATTCTCTCCCTTTTTTTTAAGTGCCATCACATATTTCAATGTATACATCTGCTAAATTTATTGCATTTAATATTTTATATAAGTTGTGAATAATAATTAATAATTTGAATGATTCATTTTCCTTACATTACCTTGGATGCAGCAAATGAAAAGGATATACGCAAAACCATGAATGAGGCGATTCCAAAAATGTTGCATTGGATCACCCTCTTCAAATGTTCCATGGTGAGAAAATATCATGTTTAATTGCCTTTACATTGTCCTTACCCAAACATGGAGCTTTGGTTGTTAAATTACCAATTCCTCACTTCCCATTCCTGATGATATGAATTTTTTTTCGAAATTTATCTACACTGGTGTATAAACTTGATAATGCTTTCATAGGCCATAGCTCTGGATTTCTGTCTTAGATTAAAAATTCACATGGTAATATTTACTGAATATAGACTGTGATGTTATTAAACACGATTTGAGTTTCTTCTTTGTATGTCTGTCTTCATTTCCATCTTGTGTACTGTTCATGTATTTTAATCCTACGCAGGTAGTTTGATGGATTAGATATTGCTTTATAATTATTACTAGGTTTGAGTTTGACATTGTCATTATGAAACAATTATGAATTCTTTTGTAATAATTGCTTCCACTGATAGCAGGGTTCTAAAGCACCAACTATTGAGTTTAGATCTAATGATGGTCCCAAGAAAGTTAGTATATCGGAGGTAGGTCTTGTGAGTGCTGTTTCTACCATTACTGCATTTTTTTCAGTATTCATCTGTATACTTCCTCATCTAAGTATCTGTCCAACAGGATGCACCTAACTGACGTGAAGTGCTTGTTTCAATGTCTGTATGAACCTATATTCTTATTGAAGCTTTCATTTTTAGGTAATTGATATTGAGGAGATGGCATGGGCTCCCAAATATGGCTTGAAAGGAATTATTGATGCTTCTGTCAGGGTAAATGTAACGTCAAATGATAATAAGCGTGCTGAGAATGTCATGCCTTTAGAGTTTAAAACTGGAAAAGTGCCAGCTGGCCAGGCAAGTATGTGATTCCTTTAAGTCATATTTGTGCATCAAGGGTTCCGTGTAGGATTGGTCTTGTTTACTGTGGACCAATCATTTTTTCGTCGTAATTAGCATGGCATGATAATACTGATCTGTTGTGCAGTCCTCCATGGAACATTCTGCCCAAGTGATCTTGTACACACTGCTTATGTCCGAGAGGTATGTACATCTTACTTATTTTCTTTTTAAATATTTTCCTAAGCAGTGGCAAGCTAGAAATTTTTATGATAAAAATTTTACATTTTAACTCTTTACACGTATAATATTTCAATCTGAAAATTTAGGGGGAAAGTTAGAGAGAACTTCAAAATTTAACTTTTTTATATAATGTTTAATCTAAAACTTACCTGGAGGGGAGAAATTCCCTCCTCTCCTTCGCTGCATCCCTGTTCCTAAGACTGTCCTATGGGTGACATTTGAATTGCCTTTTCTTTGGGTTGTTGTTCTTGTTGTGTGTGAGAGAATGATTAAATGCATTCTGTTATTTTGCTCTGTATTTATGTTAGGTACCAGAAACATGTTGGTCGTGGTCTCCTTTATTATCTCCAGTCGGATCAGACACAGGTAAAAACCATATTCATCTGAAAGTTTGTTCTTCCCTTTGATGGAAGGCTGTTTAAATTATATCAAACTTGTGAAGGGAATCCGGGTTCAAAGATCTGACCTGGTGGGGTTAATCATGCGTCGGAATGAGCTTGCAAATAACATCCTCAAGGCATCAACTGCACAATTACTTCCCCCTATGTTACAGGTATGGCCACTCCTAGACATGGTTCTGCAGATCTCTACTGATCACTGAATCACTGAAAGTTAATCTTTTTGCTATAGATTCAAAGTGTGTGCAAAGGATGTCGCCATCTTGATGTTTGTACCATTTATCATAAGGTATATATATTCTAAATACAATTCTATAGTGTTAATTTGTCTTCATTACCATGTTGGTTATACATAACTGTATGCTCTAGGTCTTCCCATGACAAAAATTTGCCTTAAAGCATTCGCATTATCTAACAGAAATACTCTGTGCATGGTCACTGTAGTTCAGTCACCTGATATAGCTCTAATTAGAAAGTTACATTACCATTCCTAACCCAAGTTCACAATAGTTTCATGCTAGTCATGGGAGATTATAATCTAAAAACTGTTGGTGAATCTTGGAATTGGCATAATTCCTGCAATATTCGAGAGAAGTAGAATATTTAATAACCTTTTCATTACCTCTAATGAATTAGTTGTTTCTGGTGGGACATTACTTGTTTGTCGACTGACGTTATTTTTCGTTTTTCTCTTTATATTTTAGTTGGTAGTTCACAATTTTATATACTGCAGATGCAAAATGGAAGCAAAGATAGTAGTGGGCTTGGAGTTCTATTTGACTCCCACACGGATCATTTGAAAGCTTCTCATGGTACTTTCTTTCAGCATTGGGAAAGATTGATTGATTTAGAAGCCAAAGAAACGGAGGTTGAAATTTTAAGTGATTTCAAATGTATCATATATAATATTCAATTCCCATGCTTATTTATGCCAATGCTGAGCCCACTCATCTACGATGTTCATTTCTTCAGCTTGTAAAGAGGGGAGTTTGGCACTCACGTAGTGTGGGAAAAAATCAAATGTCTACCTGTATTTCTTCTCTTGTTCTTACCACGTTGGATGAGCGACCACATTGTACTTTTGAAAAGGACAACCGGATCATCTATCGTTTTGTCCGTCAAGATTTGTCTTCACCGTGTTTGAAAGATTCAAATGGTGATAGTTCAAACACTGATACTTCAATAAATGAAATGGATAGTTCACTTAGAGTTGGAGACTATGTGGTGAGGCCTTTTCTCCTTGAATGTTGAATTGATTAATATTGTTTAATCACTTGGGTGGAAACGATTTTGCATGTATTCTGTACTGATCACTAGCCTATGTTACAATGATAATTCATAAACTGAAATTAGTTAGAGGTACTAAGCCCGAAGTTATCATTTCCAGAAGTAGATTTATTTCTTTTATACTTTCCTATTTATTTTAACATTTAAAGGGAAAAAGCTCAGCTTCTAGCTGTCTTTATGTACTTCCAATTGATTTTGGATCTGTTGGATGTATGGTGTCTACAAGTCGCTAGCCGGATATCTGCTCCTGAATATTAGAAAGATTTAACCATGTTCATGTACTTCAATTTATGGATCACCTGTCATTCTAAATTCTTTCTTACACGTTTTTTATCTTCCATAATATTTCTTCCAGTAACTAATAGGCGATTTCTTTTGCTTGTATTTTAGATACTTAGTACAGATTCTGGGCATTTGACCCTAGCAAGTGGTATTATAACAGATCTAAGCAGTCTCCATATATCTGTAAGAAAATTTCCCTGGTTTCTTTCCCATTTTCTGATGCCACGAGCTGGAAAGTTTCACTACTTACTGGAGGCAACTATAAATCACAGTACTGTTAGTGATCGAAGACATTTTTGTAGTCTCTTCCTTTCAGATGATTATATGGTTTAAAACTTGTAGGTCTCTTTTTCTAAGCGCCTACGTTTGCCTGGAAGCACTCCTTCTACAGAGGCACGTGATCTTTTGAAGCAAGTTTGGCAGATTGACAAGGATGAATTTATGACTTCGTTTGCAATCATGAGGTACTAACTTGATATAATTGTTCTGCCAGAAATTATTATCAATTTCTTCCGGTTGTAACGTCAGCTGCTCCCAAACATAGTAATGCAATATTCTGCTCTCATGTTTATTTTGTTGCTGAAGGTTTAATCTTGTACAACTGTTTCTGCAAGGTGAACGAAATGCTCATCTTAGAAAGTTGATAGTAGATCTTTCGGTAAATGCTCATCTTGAAAAGTATTTGTTCATTGTCCCCTTAGATATTCTTTATTTATAGGCCTTTTCACTTGTAGGCTCCAAGATTTGACGGTGGATGCATATTCAGCCAGGATCCAGCAATATCTTATATCCGGTCAGAGAAAAGTTTAAATGATGACCAGCGTCGAGCCATAATTAAGGTGTTTCTGTAAAAATGTTTCTTCTGATGCTAACTTGACTCTCCTACTCTATCTCTCCTTCCCCCTCTTCATTTTCTGGTTTTTCTTGAAAGACAAGCTATTCTGACATGAAATTGTTACATGATTATCTTAGATACTTACAGCAAAGGATTATGCTCTCATTCTAGGAATGCCTGGAACAGGCAAGACGTCCACAATGGTTCATGCTGTGAAGGCTTTGTTGATGAGAGGTGTATCCATTTTGCTCACATCTTACACAAACACTGCTGTTGATAATTTACTTATCAAACTGAAATTTCAGGTATTCATTTCAACTATTTTCATCTTTAAAGGATTGAAAAATAATGTTTCATTATCTCTCAAAAGAAGAGAGAGGAAATGGTAAAAACTTCCATTTATGGTCCCTAGAATTATTTTTATCTTTTAAAGATTGATACTATTGAAATACTGGGAAGCCTGTTTTTTGAGTCTGTTGTCACTGTTTTCTTTTTCTATTCTTAAATTTACAAATCATCCAACAAGGCATGATATTTTTGGCCCCTGTGACTTACATGTGACTCCGCACCATTAATAGATCCTTGAAATTTATTTCTTTTTTTTAAGCGCCCATCACCTGAGTAATACTTGGATAATCATCTTTAAGCTTCCATAAAATGACATTTGCTAGGGTCGAGGTCGAGGATGGAAATGTCATCAATTAACATGTTGGAGGTAGGTTTTTTAAGAATTAGTTGGAATTTTTTTTATCAGAGTGCAAAACTAAAATTATTAATGGTTGTAGAATAGTCGGCACAAGTTCCTCGTTATATATATAATTTTTTTTACTTTTTTGTGGCTTCGTTGTTTGGTTTCGCTTGTGTTTCTGTGAGGTCTTCTTTAACAATAAAGATCTCTTAGTTTTATGTACATGTATCAAAAGCATAAATCAGATTCTTTCTCAACTCTAGTCATCTAGTCACATATAAAGTATCATGCAAGTTGGCTTACTCTTGTTGATTTATCACCGAACTGCAGAACATTGATTTTATACGAATTGGGAGAATTAATGCAGTGCATGAAGACATTCGCAGCCATTGCTTCTCGGGTCTGATTTTGCCTATTATGTAGTTTTGTTTGTATCTGGATACCTGCTCTTCTTTTTGTAACTGGTAATAGTTATATTTGACAGAGTTGAACATACAAAGCGTGGAAGACATCAGAATGAGATTGGACCAAGTCAAAGTTGTTGCAGTTACTTGTTTGGGGATAACTAGCCCCTTACTTGTCAATAAAAAATTTGATCTATGCATAATGGATGAAGCTGGACAGATCACCCTTCCAGTATGTAGAACAGCGCTGTTTGTTGCAAAATTTTATTTTGGTAGTATGATGATATAGTGCACATTGACGATCAATTATTTTTGCGATTAGTTAGCACATGTCTAATTGGTAAATAATTAGAGAACTCGTTGTCCTTCATTTCTTTTAGTACTAGCATGTCACAAACACCTTCACTGACAGAAGGTAGGGTCTACTTGTATTTCAAGAAATTGCCAAGAGCATAAGACTAAATGATAGCAGAAGCCAGAGGATGCATGGTCACACGCTTGATAAAACAAATGCTGTATTTTATAAATTGAAAATCTTTGTCATGATTTTGTCCAATCTTGTCAACACCAGTATGAGATATAACTCTATATTGATAACTCCAAATTGCAACATCTTCCTAAATTGTGTTACAACAAAACATAATTTTGTTGTATATAAGGTTATTTCTAGAGAAGCCTTGTTGGTGAAAGGCTACATTCCACTTTCATTTACTAACAGGACAGCATTCATTCAATTTCATGTATGCTTCATATAAGATTTCTAAAGTGGAACTGAGTTTCTGATATCCATCTCCTTCTACAGTTTCTGATATCCATCTCCTTCTACAATCATTGTTCGTATTTCTTCTATTGGCTATAAATGAAATTGTAATTTATATAATGTAATCAAGAGTTACTGAAAAAGGGGAATATCTTTGCATATTTAATTTTTATATCGACCCATCAGGTTTCCCTTGGACCTTTGATGTTTGCTTCAACATTTGTCCTTGTTGGCGATCACTATCAGCTACCTCCTCTTGTTCAGGTGTTTATCATGCATTGTCATTTGGATTTTTAATTAAATTTTTTTTTTTAATGATGTTGCACTTTTTAAAGTTATCATTCTCATTTATTTCTAGAGTACAGAGGCTCGAGAAAATGGAATGGGGATAAGCTTGTTCTGTAAGCTTTCAGAAGCACATCCTCAAGCAATTTCAGCATTGCAAAGCCAGGTTCTTTTTCTTTTTATATTTTCAGCATTGCAAAGCAATTTCAACTTTATATTTCTATGCTGCCGACATCAATTTACTAGGTTTCTTTGAGTGTAGTATCGCATGTGCCGAGAGATTATGGAATTATCAAATGCCTTGATATATGGAGACAGATTGCGTTGTGGTTCTGAAGAAACAGCGTACGCAAAGCTTGAGTTTTCTAGTTTAAAGTTGTTCCCATCTTGGCTTAAGGAGGTTAGTGATCTTATTATAACTTTCATGTTGTTTTATCTTTATCGACTGGGTTTATTCTGCCTCAATAAAATAGAACTTCGCCAATTTTTCCATGTGCAGACCGTGACGACAGACTCTAAATTACTACTTTGCTGACCATTTTTTTTTTTTTAAATTTTGATATATGATATATCGTCAATATACTAATTTGATGGGGCATCTGATATAGGGCAAGCAATGAGTTAAACATCCAACCAAATTTTGTTTCCTCATTTGTGGGCAGTTTCACATTAAATTTCATTAATTTAGTACTTGACTATTTGTGTTTAGAGAGTTGTCATCTTTACATTTGTTTGCTTCAATTCATCGAACTTAGTTTGTATTTCACTTATTTTTCCTCGAACAGCTATTTAAGCAGGACTAAAAAAAAGGTTGATCATTTCATGAAACTAAGTTTATGTCATATAAGTCGGTGATTTTATTTAATTTGAACATTCAAATGCTGCTCACTTCTAAAACTTCCTTGACTTAACTAATACACTTTCTATTCATGGTTACAGGTTCTAAACCCATGCAAACCTGTTATCTTTGTTTGTACAGGTTTCCGAGTATATTCTTTTTGCGTTCCAAATTTTGTTAATCAGTTTAGTTTTATCAGTGGTTCTAGTTTGTTAACTGAATCATGCCCAACAACTGTAGATCTATTACCTGCTTACGAGACAAGAGATCGCAAGATTGTGAACAACCCAATTGAAGCCAACATATTAGCAGAGGTAGAATCTTTACTTTGATATGTCTCTTATACTGCTTATCGGTTATCAATAAGATCGCTACTTTTTTTCTCAAGAAGATTGATACCTTGGAGCAGGGAAAGCTACATGGAATTTTACTGTGCGACACTCATCTCCATTTTCATAATTTTATAGGTGACGAATGGATTGCTTGATGGTGGGATTAGAGGGAATGATATTGGCATCATTACTCCGTACAACTCCCAGGCAAGCATCATTCGTCTCGCTATCAACATAGCCTCTGTGGAGATTCATACCATTGACAAATACCAGGTTAGACCAGTTATAAGGAAATTAGTAAAGTAATCATCAATTGTCATAAAATGATTAGATTGTCATGTGTATTAAAGTATAAACCTCAAAGATGTCTCATATTATTAGTGATCAAAGAACAGCTATTTATACAAGCTGTTGAATACATGAATAAATTACAATTCAGCCCATCACCTAAGCACTCAACATAACAAATACAACAGAAATGTAACCACCTATACAGATGACTCAATGTGCTCTCTTAACAAGGTGCTTTGTCAAAAGATTATGAATGTCTATAAAACCTTTGTTTATTGGACCGAGTTCCCTCCGAGCAATTTGTGATAAGTTTTAAATTTTCATGTGAATGTGCATTTTTTGGTTATTTTGTGTGAATAAATTATTATATCTTATTTTTGGTCCAAGTTGTCTGTTCTTCACGACCCATCTGTTTTCCTTTTTGTTTTGTTTTTTCTTTTTTAGGGAAGAGATAAGGACTGCATTTTGGTGTCCTTTGTTAGGTCGAGTGAAAATCCAAAGAGCTGTACGACCTCACTTCTTGGAGACTGGCATAGAATTAATGTGGCCATTACACGTGCCAAGGTTAGAAATCCACCTTTATCTGCCCACCTCCAATAAAAGGAAAAAAACCCTCATGTTTGGTAAGAATATTAACATGTAAACCCTTCTTGTCAAAATAAACCAATAAAGAAATAAAAGCGAGGCTGCTTGTAAGAGCTAAGCAATTTTCAAGTCATCAGTTTGATTGATGTATAATTGAAACATATTCTGCAGAGAAAATTAATCATGGTGGGATCACGTAGAACACTATCAAAAGTTCCACTGTTGAAGCTTCTAATCAAGAAGGTCGAGGAGCAATCAGGAATTTTGAGTGTAACAAAGAAGGATATTCGCCAAAGTAGCAAGCTTCGGGATTGCACTTCGACCGACTTGTTGTAAAGGTTTAACCCATCGTCTTGATTTTGTTTAATCATTAATCTGTGTTTAAAGTATGGCAGAGTATGGCAGAAATGTGTCATAATGGTATGAAAATTTTTGTGCATAAAAATAGAAAAAAATTGATTTAAATTTTTTATTTTGGTTCATTTTAGTTCCTTTATTTTCAAAACATATATTTTTTTCCAAAATATATATTTCAATTCCTATATAATATATATATATATATATATATATTTTTTTTGATGTTTGTAAACATTTTGATTCTTTTACTCGAAAGAAAATGATATTTTGATATTTTAATTTTGATTTTAATCTTATTTCTTTCGGACCTAGCATTGTACTTTATTCTTATAATAGAGTGTGTTAAAATTTTACCGAAGGGATTAAATTGATTACTTTTTAAAAGCACACATACTAAAATGAACATTTTAAAAATACAAAAAATTAAAAGTATAAAAATTAAAATAAATATTTTAAAAATATGTGAATCAAACAGATAATCAAAATAATTATAATAATAGCTAAAAAAGGTTGGTCTCAGTGAACGGTTGTAAAGGGGAGAGGAGCAGAGGCTTTACTAATGTCATGTGTGAAGCACAGAGGAAATCTTGTCTACTTGCGAAAGGTACTTTCCATTTCTGGAAGTTTTAGTGATACTGCTTGCATTGCTAATTCTTTTCAAGTCTCCATCTGATACGGCCAAAGCAATTCACTATCACAATTGCTGGACCCTTCACTTTATTTATTATTTGTACTCTCGACGGTCCAAAATCCAATGTTCTGAAATGATTTTTTGGAATATATAAAATTTAAGTAGTTAATATAAAAAAATCATACGATTACACTGCCACTTTGTGTCAGTGATTTCAGCCGAGCTGATGCTTTCCCTTCTTGTCCTTATATTGCATTTTATTCTTTTTAATTGTAAACTTCTATTACAAAATATATAAATAATTGATAGATACTAGGCACTTGCTGACTGCTGCCCTTTCTCTGCCAACAAAAACCAGTGGGTCTGGGTGGGAGTATTTTATTTTTATGTTACATTTTATTTTTTTTAGTTATAACCTTTTATTACAAAATAGCCTTTTTTTCCCGATAGTTGAGCCCATGCAGGTAGTGGGGCAAGGAACCCATGTATGGATCCAGGGTTAAAACATATTTTCTCAACTAAAAGTCTGGATATTTGAATCTCCGCTCAGATTAGTTAAAGAATATTTTTCTTGTCATAGGAATGTTCAGACTCGATAAATCAATAGTCGCAAACACTTAAAAATATAGTTAGCTTATTATCAATGTCTTTTGGATTGATGTCATTGTTATCCTTGTGGTGTTGTAGTTTTCTAAATCTATTTTCAACTATGAGGTAACTAGTCAGTTTTTTTTTATGGTCAAAATTTTATTTTAACCATGTCAAGACAAAGCATCATTCAGTTCTTGCTGTGTCTCATTTCAACTTTATTGGTAATGAACAAAGACTTGTGTCCAAATCCAATATGATTCTCTACCACTTCCTAAAAATAATTCATGTTGAAAATGACTTCGTAAAACCACCGAGCATATTACAATAATTTCATTCAGACAAATTGATTGAGACAAAAATGCCACTTGAAAGGAAATTTCCCGTACAGCCTCATATGTAATTTTCTATTAAGGTCTTTCTTTTGTTTTTCTAACTTTCTTTGATTTATAGGGATCAATAAATCTTCTGCTTGCTTTTTGTGTTCTAGTTTATGTGGTTGGTATTGGTACCTAACTTTGTGATATCCTTTCAATATGATTTCATCTCCTTTTTAGATTTAGATTTAGATTTAGATTTTACTTAAAGAAAGACCATTTCAATGGGAACTTCTTTGACCTTCGTATCATTTTTGCTTAATATTGCTAAGAAAGATTCTATGCCCATTGTGTTGGAATTTTAACTAGAGAGTCGAGTAGAATCTCACAATTTTAACAAGTCTTAGGTTTGTGTACCTTGTATTTAGGCTATAATGTGTAACATGCATTTAGTTTGAAAGTCTTGTGATTTGCAAAATTAAATGTGTAGTGTGTGAAATATGGCTTTCAAAAGCTAAGTTCTATGTTCTATGTAGCTTGGAAATTTTTAGAACCTGGAATTTGTTTATAGAAAAGGGCTGCAATGGACTATAAAAGTGATGGGTAAGGATCACATGGCCTTGCAATTTTGCCAACTTTATCTACCATTTTAGTGGTTCATTCTTTAGCTTCTCTCTCCATGAAATGATGAAATTCCACATGCTACTCCCAAAACCTGTCCCGTATGTCACTTTTGGGGAATCTGTGAAAGATAGATTTCTTTTTCTTTCTTTCTTTCTTTCTTTTCTCTTTTTTTTTTCCTTTTCTTTTTCTTTTCATCATTTTCAAATAGATTTCAAAATGACAAGTTTTTAAAAGTACTCGAATCAAAACAAACATTTTGAAGATACAATGATAGAAATACTAGAATGAATCAAAGTTGAAAGTATGAGTTAAAATAGATATTTTGAAAATACATAAATCAAAATAAACCAAATTTAAAAGTAGTATTAATTATTTATTATTATTATTAGTATTTTGAGGGAGGGGTGCAACTTGCAAATATAAAACTCTCTCTGCAACTTGGTGGGATTTATCCAACTCAAAATTTTGTTAATCAGCTCCACCTAACTCTTCTAGTTGATTGAGAGAACTTTTAACGAAGTGCATTGTTACAAAGTATTGTATTGTTGCTTTTTCTAAGGTCCATTGTTGTCCTGCTGCACTATTCATTTGAGGTGGGGAGGGGAAAATGGTTAATAGGAGTAACTTTTTTTTTCTATTTTGGTCTCATTTTATTAAAATGTTTAATAAAAATTTGATATAGGTGCATATTTTGTTCATATATGATATACTTAATCAATAAGTGTTTATACAGATAGGTGTTGGAAGCTACACATAGTGAATTAGTTATGTGCTGGATTATAAATGAGTTTAGGTTCTTTAACGTAGGGATTAAAACGTCTTTTTATGCCAAGTTTTGGACCAAAATCCGAATAATTGAAAATTGACTGCCTACAAGGTAGCATTTGGAAGCTTTAGAGATTAAAATAAAAAAGAAATGTAAATGATGTAGACTATCACTCAGGGTAGTGGCAAAAGGAGAGGCCTTGGAATTGGTGGAATAGTCTAATGAAGACATAAGACACTAAAATTGACTCAAATAAGTTGATGTGAAAGCTCGAGGCTTTTTTTTGTTTTTTTTGTTTTTCTTATTTGTTGATGAAAAATCAGATTTCTTGGACGTCAAGTATGAATATTCCTCACGATTCTATTATTACATCTTTCTAATATGGCTGACCCAAATTTACGTTTCATCACGTGAATAACTTTTTCTGTGGAATGCTTTAAATAATCGAGTAATAATTTGATTGGGTATGGATGCATTTTTTTCATTACATTGACCAGGTAGATATTATGATATTCAAATGTTTTTTTTTTTTTTTATCATCTTTGAGATGGTGATAAACTTGGGGTTAAAATCATACCTTGGTGTCTATGGTTGATTATATTTTACTGATTGACAATTAGGCTTTTAATCAAAATTCTTTGTTTATTTATTTATTTTCCATCTAAACGTTACCCTTCAGAACCACTGTATTTGTGTGGTCCTGTGAATAGTGCTTGAATTGGAGTTCCTGAATAAAATATGGAAAATATTACAAATTCTAATTCCAACCAGTAATGTTGCTCCATGATTAAGAAAGGACAAGGAATTGCCTATAAATCATCAAATCTGACTCAGAAGCACTCATTATTTGGGATTGAAATCTCAGCCATAAAAATATAATTAAAAAAAATCAAGATTTGCCTTGGAATTCTCTTTTTGGAGCATAACATAAGTTTTTATAATCAAATTTAGTAAAGTAGTATTAAAATTAGATTTTTTTATTAATCATTTTTGCATTCATTTCGTTATGATTTGAGCCAAACAAAAAGCATATATTTCTGCTTCTGCCCAATAGGAACAAACCTAGTGTGGAATCTTATCCTGCGGTCAGCTCAAATAAGATAATCTGGAGAAATTCTTATTGAATTAATTGAATTTTTATATACTTTTCTTGCTTATATTTGGCTACATTCAAAGTATTTAAGAATAATGTGGGATTTATACTAGAGATACTATACACTAATTATTGGCCTTATATGATCAATTATATTGTTACAACTTGAAGTAGAAATGGAAGACGGACAAGTTTGAAATATAATCCACACATTTCAATGGCTAAAATTGTAAGATAAAAATTCCAATGGTTTCGTCAATCTGGGCATAATTCAAACTTTTGTAAAGGTAGAGGCTTGAATCCCCATCTCACTTAATGTAGAAAATTTTCAATCTTGCCATTGAAGATTTTGATTGAGATTTTTTTTTTTAAAAAAAAAAATGTAGCTTTCAATTCAATGAACTTCATTGATATGATCCATATAAACATTCTTATATTGGAGTGTTGGTCCCCTATGATTCCCACGCATCGTACTTGCAACCCACTTCCAAAAAATAACAAGCTACAAAAGCGATTTTCTCACTTCATTTTGGCAACTTGAATTTGGTCATTATATTTTTATCTACTTTTTAAATGTTTGAAATTTGGACATTTAGTCTACAAATTTTTGTTATGTTTGAGAAAGTCAAGACTTTTTAAGAGTGTGTAATCCACCATCATCTAAATAAAGATGTTAAAAGGAGATTGTTGTGTGAAAGAAACGTAGTTTTCACAAATAAACAAGGGGAAGAAAGCAAAAAGATGAAGTAATCCCTAGTTTAATGAGTTATTTTAATAGGAATTGGTAACCAAAGTTAAAAGGACCAACAAAATTCACAACCAAATCAAACTAAAAGTGGACAAAATCAATCCCACAAACCCAATTCTATTCTTAAATTTATTGACAAAATTATATCGTCATAAATAGTCCATTTCATTTTCTTGATAACTTCCAAATTATTTATATTAAAAAAAAAAAGAGTTGTAGAAATTTTGGACACTGGTTTCAAAAAGTTTCGTCCTTTTGCTCCTCAAATCTATTTACATATACACCACTTCTAAAACTCAAATCTTACCCTCTCTCTCTCTCTCTCTCTCTATGAGCAGCCATAGCTAGAAAGTGGGAGCAGTTGTTCGAAGGTCAAGCAAAGATGGAAGATTATTCTCTCTCTCCTCTCTCTTTCTCTCTCTAAAATTTTTCAATAATCCACCATGGCTGTGATCACGAAGAATCAGCTTCATCACTTCTTCAACTCTATCTCTCTCTCTCCTCCATGTGAGTTCTCTCCCTTCCAAATTCAATACTTCAAACTTCATTTCTCTCTCTCTCTTTTCAATATAAAGTTTATTTGGATTTTACTTTGATTCGTTTAAAACAAAAAGCAAACAAAATGCTACAAATGTCGATGCCCAATTTTCCATTACAGCAGATTCTCAAGAAAATTAATCAATTTTGATTTTGATTTTTTCTGTAGTACATTCTTAGATGGATCACACTTTCACGAAAGTGGGGAAAATCATACCAACCAAATTCATGTAGTTTTAAGCTCAAATTCGACGGTATCATACACTTTAATATTTGTATTAAAATATCAATACAAATATTAAATTTGTTATCTTAACTCAATGCTGATTTCACATTATATCACACAATAATATTATGTATTCAAACTGTTGTAATATTGAATGTGCTAATTTTTTTCAAGTCCATAAAAGAAGGACAAGTGTCTTATCGACCTAGCTATTGTCGAATTTTTGTTTACTTTATAAATTGGTACAACATTATTATTTTAAGTTAATATTGATATGATTTCTCTTTCTAAATTAGGAATGAGTCATCGATGGATATTTGATGAGATATGAAATTGTGTGTGTTTTATATATTTTGCACTTTCTACTTTCATGCTTCGATTTGATTTGATAGGTATTTTTGCTATTTTATTATGTCAAGTACGATGGAGTGATTGAGTAGAGATTTTTAACTTGAATTATTTTAATATATTTATTACACATGAAATTTAAAATTGATATATATTTTTATGCCAAATTATAGCAAATTTGAAATGATTTTAAAGAGTTGAAATTTTGTATAGTAATTATAACATACCTAAAAATTTTCTGTAAAATGCTTTGAAGGAAAATACTCCATTGATATTTAAAAAAAATATACTTATAGAACAAGTAATTCACTTTAAAATATTATTTTTAAAAACACTAATCTCAAAATCACCGTTAGTTCTTTTTCTCTCTTTTTTTTTAAGATAACTATTATTATTTTCTTCGAATGAGATAAGTGAGGTTTTTAAAAATGTACATATACACCATGACATTTTAATTTCTGCTATTAATTTAATTTAATTTTTTTTATGAATAAAAAAAATGTGTTGCTACTCGCTATGAATAAAACATTATATTTTTTCTTTTATGTTTTTTTAATGTCGTCAAAACTAAAAGCGATTTCCTTTCGGGAACAATTTCTTGAAAACTGAAACTGACCTTTTTCTCCGAGTGGGCCCGCGGCCCAAGACTGATTGATTTGAAGCTCAGAAATAACACAGAGGTTTCAGAGAATAATTCTAGGGACCCACATATATAGTAAACCGACGTCGTTTTCAACGTCCCTTTCAAAATTCTAGCCGGCCCACTAAATGATTGACAAACCCAAGTCGTGGGCCAGAACTTTGGGCCTCAGAAATACAGCCCATAACAATTGGGCCTAAATTAAATCGTCTCTGGCCAATATATTAGGGCCCAGTCCGCAGATATTTTTGTTCTGATTTGTTCGGTAAATCTGTTGCAGTTTATAAGCTTCCTCAACTGGGAATGAACTGGCGGGAATTTGATTCGACCTCGCCGTGTTTGTGCGAGTTCATTAGCATAGGAGTGCAATTAGGGTTCGTTGGATTCTTGTGCTTTCGAATTCTTCAGAAACTTGTTGGTTGGATATGGGATTCTTACAATGGAGGGAGAAAATCGACGGATCGTGCTGCAGAAAACTGCCGGATCAGTCGGAAATTGAGCGTTTCTTACAGAGCCAGTGTAGGTTGCTCCTTCTTACTGTTGGCGGTTCATGTTCTTATTGTGTTTTCCTTGCAAAATGGAGATGGTGGTTCTTATTGCGATTCGAGAATCGGAGTTTTTTCTTCGGAGATAATGCAAGTGATAGCGTGGGGAGGAGCAATTCTTGTAGTTTGTAGAATTCTTCGCGATAAATTTGTCAAGTATCCTTGGATTCTACGAGGGTGGTGGTTTTGCAGCTTCGGTTTGTCGATTCTTCGTCTGGCTTATGATGTGTATTTCGGAAATGTCAATCACTTGAGAGTGCAAGATTATGCCGATTTTTTCTGCCTTCTTCCATCGATTTTCCTGTTTGGGATTTCAATCTATGGGAAAACAGACATTGTTTTCAATGCTCATAATGGCTTGGATGACCCGCTGCTCCCGGGAAAATTCTCAGAACAAAAGGGAGGTGAGAGGAATTCTCCTTATGGAAGGGCAACGCTTGTTCAACTTGTTACCTTCTCGTGGCTCAATCCCCTCTTCGCTATTGGATTCAAGACTCCTTTGGAACAGGAGGACATTCCAGATGTTTGTAGAATTGATTCTGCGAAATTTTTATCACATTCCTTCGAAGAAACCCTAAATTTTGTAAGGAAGAAGAACAATAGCACAAACCCATCAATCTACGAGACAATATATTTGTTTGGTAGAAAGAAAGCAGCGATAAATGCTTGTTTTGCGGTAGTAAGTGCTGCAACATCATATGTTGGACCATACCTTATTAACGACTTTGTAAATTTCCTCACTCAGAAGAAAATGCGTACCTTATCAAGCGGGTATCTTCTTGCACTTGCCTTTGTTAGTGCAAAGATGATCGAGACGATAGCTCAGAGACAGTGGATTTTCGGAGCACGCCAACTGGGTCTTCGCCTCCGAGCTGCTTTGATATCTCACATATACAAGAAGGGCCTGCGTCTGTCAAGCCAATCTCGCCAAAGCTGCAGCAGTGGGGAGATCATGAACTACATGAGTGTTGATATCCAAAGAATCACAGACTTCATTTGGTACTTGAACACCATATGGATGTTGCCCGTACAAATTTCATTAGCCATCTACATTTTGCATACAAATCTTGGATTGGGGTCATTGGGTGCATTAGGAGCAACTCTAGTAGTAATGTCCTGCAACATACCAATGACCAGAGTTCAGAAAAGTTACCAGACCAAGATAATGGAAGCTAAAGATAATAGGATGAAAACCACTTCAGAAGTTCTCAGAAACATGAGGACACTCAAACTTCAAGCATGGGATACTCAGTACCTCGAAAAGCTTGTTAGCTTAAGGAAATTGGAACATCACTGGCTATGGAAGTCGTTGAGATTATCAGCAATTTCAGCTTTTGTTTTTTGGGGAGCGCCCACCTTTATCTCTGTTGTGACATTCGGGGTGTGTATCTTACTGGGGATTGAATTGACTTCTGGAAGAGTCTTATCTGCTTTGGCTACCTTCCGTATGTTACAAGACCCCATATTCAATCTGCCCGACTTGCTCTCTGCCCTTGCACAAGGCAAAGTCTCAGCGGATAGAGTTTCTTCATACCTCCATGAAGATGAAATACAGCAGGATTCCATCAATTATGTTTCTAGGGATCAAACAGAATTTGATATAGAGATTGAAAATGGAAAATTCAGTTGGGACCCTGAATCAAGCAGGGCGTCTCTTGATCAGATAAACTTGAAAGTGAAAAGAGGGATGAAGGTGGCAGTATGTGGGACTGTAGGTTCGGGGAAGTCCAGCCTGCTCTCATGCATACTTGGTGAAATTGAAAAGCTATCTGGAACAGTGAAGATCAGTGGCACGAAGGCCTATGTTCCTCAGTCTCCTTGGATACTGTCAGGAAATATCAGGGAGAATATTCTTTTCGGAAATGAATATGAAAGTACCAAATATAACAGAACCATTAATGCATGTGCTCTGACAAAAGATTTTGAGTTGTTTTCTTGTGGAGACCTGACTGAAATTGGAGAAAGAGGGATAAATATGAGTGGGGGACAGAAGCAGAGGATACAAATTGCTCGAGCAGTTTATCAGGATGCCGATATTTACCTCCTTGATGATCCTTTCAGTGCAGTTGATGCTCATACAGGAACCCAACTCTTCGAGGTTAGTCAGGATATTAAATACTGTAGAGGATAAACGAGCAGAACTAATACCATTTCTTTCTTTTTCCTTTTAAAACAGCAGTCCTAATACAGAATACAGCTCGTTCCTGCAATTTTTAAACTTGAATCAACAACCTAATGAAACTTTTTGATTTCCTTTAATACTCTGTAGGATTGTCTGATGGGTGCGCTCAAGGGAAAGACCATCATTTATGTAACCCACCAAGTTGAATTTCTACCGGCCGCAGACCTCATCCTGGTTAGTGTAGTGCCAGAAAAGTTCTCTCTTTTATTCATCTTAATTGTTTCTATATACTTTACTGTGCATGTCTTCATTATCCAAACAACTATGCATCCGAATTAAGCAGTCATCATGTCCAAAAGGGGAATTCCGCCCAGGATTACCTTGAATGATAGAGAAATTTCCTCCAAAAGCTAGTCAAGTGGCAGGAACTATCCATCTTATTAACAATGTTGTGAATTGTATATTGCCTAACAAGTTTAATGCAATTGGTATCTGTGCTTGTTTGTGATTGATAGTCTCTGGTCTCTAAGATGGGCATGTTTTGTAATTAACATTTAACAGGTGATGCAACATGGAAAAATTGCACAAGCTGGAGGATTTGAAGAACTTTTGAAACAAAACATAGGGTTTGAGGTTTTAGTTGGGGCTCATAGTCAAGCTTTAGAGTCGATCCTCACAGTTGAAAACTCAAGTAGAATACCTCAACTGCCAAATCCTGAAAAAGAGTTGAATAAAGATTCCATCATGAATGTGAAGCCTAAAAGCTCACAACATAATTTAGTGCAGAATAATAATTCTGCAGAGATAACAGAGAAGGGAGGAAAATTGGTTCAAGAGGAAGAGAGAGAAAGAGGAAGCATTGGTAAAGAAGTGTACTGGTCTTATTTAACCACAGTGAAAGGAGGAGCAATTGTTCCAATCATAATCTTAGCGCAATCATCATTCCAAGCTCTACAGATAGCTAGTAACTATTGGATGGCATGGGTTTGTCCTCCTACAAGCGACGGAGAACCAGAAGTTGGGATGAACATCGTACTACTTGTTTATTCACTACTTGCTGTTGGAAGTTCACTATGTGTGCTGCTGCGAGCTATACTAGTAGCCATAACAGGACTTCAAACAGCACATAAGCTCTTCACAAATATGTTATGTAGTATACTTCGGGCACCAATGGCCTTCTTTGACTCAACTCCAACCGGAAGAATTATAAACCGGGTAATTTCAACTTACAATTCAGCCTATGATACTAACAATCTGTATAAGTTTACCTATAAAACACAATTTTTAGTGACATGTTACAAAGATACAAGGAAAAAGTTCAATAAATTATTGCAAGTATAAGTTATGTTCCAAACGTATGCCCAGGTGGATCTTAATGTTTTCATGAGGAAGACACTAGATGGTCATGTTTGGCAAAAGAATTCAAGAAATAATTCCCAGGACTTTAAACTTTGCTCATATTTTAATTTGCAGGCATCCACTGACCAGAGTGTTCTAGACCTGGAAATGGCCATGAGGTTAGGTTGGTGTGCATTCTCTATAATCCAGATTATAGGGACCATTGTAGTAATATCGCAGGTAGCATGGGAAGTGTTTGCTATTTTTGTTCCTATTTCTGCAGCCTGCATCTGGTACCAAGTGAGTAACTTCACCTCTGTAGACTTGATCTTTACAAATTTTTGTAATGTCATTGAGTACTGATAAACTAATTTGTGATTGTGTCAGCAATATTACACACCTACGGCACGAGAACTTGCTAGGTTATCTGGGATACAAAGAGCTCCAATCCTCCACCACTTTTCAGAATCCCTAGCAGGAGCAGCAACTATCCGTGCTTTCAATCAAGAAGACAGATTTTTCAAAACTAACCTTGGTCTTATAGATGATCATTCAAGGCCGTGGTTTCATAATGTTGCAGCAATGGAGTGGATTTCCTTCAGACTGAACATACTATCAAATTTTGTTTTTGGATTTTTATTGGTTTTGCTGGTAACTCTCCCGGAAGGAATTATTGATCCAAGTGAGTTTCTCTGATACAACTAGTTTGTGTACATGTTTTTACCATGAAAGAAATCATAAGCTGAAAATTTTGGAATGACTTTTGAAAAAAATGCTTTTTAAATAAAACTATTTTTCTCACACGTAGAAGAATTACTAATTTAGGGTGTGTTTAGTATAGCTCCTTAATGATTTTAAATACAGTAAGTTTTCTTTTAAAAGATCTACCATGGTAAATTAAAAAAAAAAAATTCGAAAAACACTTTAGAGAGGATTATCAAAAAGTGATTGACACTCTCGTAGTTTAAGCACTTAAAAGTTGATTACTCACAAAATAGTGCAAAAGATGTGTTTAAATTAAAAGATATACCGAGCTCACCCTTAACATGTTCTTATAGAAAGATAATTTAACTAAATGTCAATTTTAACTTTAATATCTCACGGCCAAAATAAATAGGAGAATTAACTACTTACAAAAAATTGGAAACTTTTCAGGTATTGCAGGCTTGGCAGTAACGTATGGGATAAACTTGAATGTTCTGCAAGCTTCAGTCATATGGAACATATGCAACGCACAGAATAAAATCATTTCAGTTGAAAGAGTTCTTCAGTACTCGAACATAAAAAGTGAAGCACCTCTTGTTATTGAAAATTGCAGACCACCAAGCAACTGGCCACAAGATGGGAGGATTTGCTTCAAAAATTTGCAGGTAAACCTACGTTTATAAAATTTAGCAAAAGAAAATTCAGGAGTACTTAAGTCATATATTCAGAAATACAAGTTCTATATGTGTGCCATTTTCTGTATGATGAGCTTCAACCTTTTGTAGATCCGTTATGCAGACCATCTCCCGGACGTCCTGAAAAACATCAGCTGCACCTTCCCAGGAAGGAAGAAAGTGGGTGTTGTAGGAAGAACAGGTAGCGGGAAATCGACTCTCATACAGGCAATTTTTAGGATTGTTGAACCTAAAGACGGAAGCATTATAATAGACGAGGTTGACATTTGCAAGATAGGCCTTCATGACCTGAGATCAAGGCTAAGCATCATCCCTCAAGACCCCTCCATGTTTGAAGGAACAGTTAGAGGAAACCTCGACCCACTAGAACGGTATACGGATCAAGAAATTTGGGAGGTAACCTTTCTTATTTCCTGAGGTGTCTTGTTTTCTGTTTTGAACAAAATCATTTAAGAAAAATGAAAGAAAGTTGGAAAGAAGAAAAATGAATAGTATTCTGAAAGTCTCTCTAGTTCACAGTGCTTTTACTGTCTTTCAGGCCTTAGACAAATGTCAACTAGGCGATTTGGTGCGTGCAAAAGACGAGAAGTTGAATTCTTCAGGTTGGCCTTGCCAGTTTGAAATTGATTACATTAAGTTTAAAATATGGTATACTTGGCTTTTCTAATGCATCAATGTTTACGTTTTTGACAGTGGTCGAAAATGGAGAAAATTGGAGTGTGGGTCAACGGCAGCTATTTTGTCTTGGAAGGGCATTGCTCAAGAAGAGCAGCATTCTGGTGCTCGATGAAGCGACCGCCTCAGTCGATTCTGCAACTGATGGCATCATACAAAACATCATTAGCCACGAGTTTAAAGATCGAACAGTGGTTACCATAGCTCATAGAATCCACACAGTTATAGATAGTGATCTTGTTTTGGTCCTCAGTGATGGTGGGTTTGAAGTTCTTTCCCATTCATACATAATCTTGCTTTCTGTTACTTAGAAGGTTTGGTTACACAATACTTTTAGAGACTGAACAACTACTATTGTTTTTGATGAGCAGGAAGAGTTGCAGAGTTCGACTCACCGAGAAAGCTTCTCGAAAGAGACGATTCGTTCTTCTCTAAGCTAATAAAAGAGTACTCCATGAGATCTCAAAACTTCAATAGTTTGGCAAATCAAATGTATGAATAGAGCTTCTTCTGTGCAGCTCTCAGAGGCAGATTGTGGGAGAAGCAATATAAGAAGCAAAAAACTAGCAGTGAGAGCATTCAATAAGCAAAAATCTTCACTGAATTGTAACCCTTAAGGTTGCTGAATAGGGAATTGGAATTTTTTGAGAAAAGTTTAGTAGGAAAAAGAATAATTTGAAGTCTTTTTAAGATTCTCAAGATTTCATTTGAACTCTGGAAGTAATTGGAGCATTGTTTCCACTACTCTTGCTGATTACAGGCTTGTAATTTATGATCCTCCTGAAAACTAACTAAGGTTTATCATATTTTTATATCTATTCAGCTAAATTGGTTCTTTGCTAGCTAGTTGCTATCCTACAGTCCGGAGAATCACGGACACAGCAACATGTCAATTTTAAAAGTATAAGACAGGAACATGTAAGGGATGCATTATTTTCTTTTAGAAAAATTAGATAATATGTTATATATCACGTAGTAATATTTCTAAATAAATTAATCATACAAATTGAACATGCCAAAAAGAAATGTGCTTTATTCATACCTAAAAAAACAATAGTACAAAATTCGTTATCCAACCAAACGTTACCGTACAAATTAAAAGGAAAAAAGGTAAAAAAGTATTGTTTCATACAAAAAAATAAATATAACATTCATCTCAAACTTTCATGACGTCTTCATTTTATATACATTGTTTAACAAAATGGGAGGACTCAATTGTAAATCATAAAATTCATTTTTTCGATACAACATGTGAGGGTGAGGAGATTTCAACTCATGACTTTTTGATCAGAAACATATATGTCAGTATCGACCCAAGTTCGCGATACAATTTCTTTGACCACACATTTATTAATCATAAAATTAAATAAAGCTTGAAATTCATCGAACACAGATGCCTAAATTAGGAGTAATGGCTATTATTTCTTACACCAAAAAGTAGGCCTTGGAGTCCAAGTTCAAGTTTTCCATTTTTTTTTTCCCTCTTAAACAAAGACCAGAAGGTTCAGCTTTTGGCTCACATTGGTGGTCAACTTTCAAAATTTTATTTTTTTTTTGGTGGAATCTTTCAATCACTGTTACCTAATCTCCATTAGGGTTAAGATTGGAATGATAGCCACTTTTATAATTTAATAATTGATGCACCCACTTTATATTTGTCCACATTTTTCTAATAATGTAAAATAAATGTAGAATATTAAGTCTCCATAAAGTATTATTTCTTTAAAAATGTTTCACTTGATATGCAAGCCATGAATTTTGTTATTTATTTCTTACAATCTTTCTAACTTTTTGGCCTTATTGTTATATTCATTGAACTGTGTAATTAATAATAAAAAAAATGCACATAGAGATGTAAGAAAAAAAAAATTGCAAGGTCCTTTACATGGGTCACAGATAAACTAATTAATAACTAATAAGACTTTTTTTATATCAAAATAGCGTCCCTCACGCCAAAGGGCACTAAATAAAATTTATGTGAAATTTAAAGAAAAAATATTAGCTCACTCAAAAGAAACCAAATAAAAAATAAAAATTTTGTCGATGAACTAATTATTTCTCTATTATTTATAATATAATATTATAAAAAGAATAATAGATAAAATTATGTCAATCTGAATATAGCCTAACCGTCGAAAGGAATAGATGGAATCAACCAAAAATTTTCAGTGGAAAATATGCAATGCTTGAGTAGCAAGTATGAAATTTCCACATTTATTATAATAAACTTTTATGATTATTTTTTATTTTTTATTATAAACTTTTATGATATGGATTGGTAGAAGCGCATGGGCATGCATTATGAGGTCAGTATTTTTGTCTCATAATGCTTCAAAATATGTCACAATAGACAAGTTAGAAATGTCTTTTCTATCCTTAGTGTATCTTTTTGAGGATTGAGAAAGGAGTTTCATCCCTGTTTCAGTCTCTCCAATCTGGATGGAAAAATAAGTATCTTACATTCGAATAGAGAATAGATACATGAATGAAACGACACAACATTCGAAAGAAAGGTTATGAGATCATACGAGCATGGTTAAGAAATATTTAAAAGAGTTGATAGTTATATCAACGAAGTCAACTTTTTCTTTCGTTGTGGTTCAATCGTAAGAATTTCAAAGTAAAACGTGCTTGAAAGTTGAAACGACTGAATGACCTGTGTTGGTCTATGTTGAAATGACGACACAATCTTCACTTTTCCAAATAACTCAAATCGTAAGCTATACAGGAGAATATCGAGAAAAAATCCTCTATTATCTCTCATTTGTCCTAAGGCTTACCTTGAAAAACGACATCTCTATCTATCTCCAATTTTCGTCTCAGGGCCATAATTGTAATTATGATATGAAAATGAAAACCACTTTCTTTGAACGAACATACTTTATTAAACGTGTCTTGACTCATTAACTTATACTTATAATTGCACTAAGTTGGAAGAAGCCAAGAAACTCACTTTTATTACATTAAAAAAATATTCGAAATAAAGAAATGAGATAATGGGAAATAATTAATTAATTAAAATTTATTATTATATATATATATTTTTTTTTTGCAAAAGGAATAATTAATAATTTACATCCTTTATTTCTATATTTATACCATAATCTCCTGAACCTCACACCTCTTGGCCCTATGTTATCTCCCTTCCAAGTTCTAAGCACTCTCAAATGGATTCTCTCATTCTCACTTTTCCAAGTAAGTTTTTCCCTCTTTTTCTTAAGGAGGGAGAGGAAAAAACACTTCACATAAATAAATAAATAAACAAACGAAATTTGACTACTAAAATCTCATTTACTAATCTTTTTTTTTATTTTCTATTATAGAATTGTATTTTGATACTAACAAATTTTGAGTTATTTTGATAATCAAAATTCTATAATCTAAAATTATCATTAATCTTAAAATATAAATATTTAAATTAAGGTTCATGTTATTTTCCATATAAACAAACATGTATTTTTCTTTATCTATGAATATATTTTGTAGTAGTAAACTGTAACATATTCAAATATTTTTTTGGTTTCTAAACTTTAGTAGTGTAATAATTCAATTTTATGAGTCTATTTATGTTATGGATTTTCAAATTAATCTACTTTGTTATCAAAACTTAAGGATTAAAGGTTAACAAAAATAAGCAATTCATATTCAGATATCACAGAAAAAGAAAAATTAATCTAATTCTAAAGGGGTTTTTTTTTTCTCTCTTTCTAATGATTTCTTTACTTTTTTTCCCTCCAAAAAAAGTACTTACTTGCCGATGAGAATTTCATCCATTTTTCCTCTCAAACCGCTGGAAATTTTTGATGATCTGCTACAGAGTTTAAGCTTCCCAGATTTGGAGGAGATTGGCAATGGCAGCAGCTTGAATCGCCTTGTCTTGGCGAACATTTGAGCATCGGAGTGCAACTCGGGTTCACGGGAATCTTGTTCCTTCAGTTCGTTCAGAAATGTATCTTTCAGGTATTGGATTATCACAGAGGAGGAAGAAAAACGGCCGATCAAGCACCAGAAAACCGCCCGATCGGACGGAATTTAAGTGTTTCTTACAAAGCCAGTGTAGCTTGCTCCTTATTCTTATGGGCGATCCATGTTTTAATGTTCTTCGCTCTGCTAAATGGAAGTGGATCTCGTTGTCGTTCGGAAATCTCAGCATTTACCTCGGAGATTATGCAATTGATCGCATGGGGAGTTGCCGCGATTGCGGTGAGTGGAATCGTCCGAAACAAGTCCGTCAAGTACCCTTGGCTTCTGCGAGGATGGTGGATTTGCAGCTTCTTTTTATCGATCATCCGTGTGGCTCTCGGTGCGAATTTCAGAAATGGAAATCAAGGAAGAGCTCACGATTATGCCGAACTTGTATGCTTTCTTCCATTGATTTTCCTGCTTGCGGTTTCAATTTATGGGAAGACGGGCATAGTTTTCACTGTTCATAATGGCTTGGGCGATCCACTTCTCCATGGAAATTTCTCTAAGCATGAGGAAGAGAAGAGGAACTCTGCTTACGAGAGGGCAACTCTTCTCCAACTCGTTACCTTCTCATGGCTTGATCCCCTGTTTGCTGTGGGATACAAGAGGCCCCTTGAACTGGATGACATACCAGATGTTTGTAGAAATGACTCTGCCAAGTTTTTATCCCATTCTTTCGCCGAGAGGCTAACTTTTGTGAGGAAGAAGAATGAAGACATAGACCCATCAATCAATGAGGCAATGTATTTGTTTTGCAGAAAGAAAGCAGTCATTAATGCTTGTTTGGCTGTGTTAAGTGCTGCAGCATCATATGTTGGACCGTATCTTATTGATGACTTTGTAAATTTCCTTACTGAGAAGAAAGGACGCAGCTTATCAAGTGGATATCTTCTTGCACTTGCCTTTCTAAGTGCAAAGGTCATTGAGACAACTGCTGAAAGGCAATGGATTTTCGGGGCACGCCAATTAGGCCTTCACCTCAGAGCTGCCTTAATTTCTCACATATACAAGAAGGGTATACGTCTTTCTAGCCGGTCTCGCCAAAGCCGTACCAGCGGGGAGATCATAAACTATATGAGTGTTGATATTGAAAGGATCACTGACTTCGTCTGGTACTTGAACATGATATGGATGTTGCCTGTACAAATTTCATTAGCAATTTATATTTTACATACAAATCTGGGTTTGGGGTCGTTGGGTGCGATAGCTGCAACTTTAATTATTATGTCATGTAACATACCCATGACCAAAATTCAGAAAGATTACCAAAAGAAGATAATGGAAGCTAAGGACAATAGGATGAAAGCCACTTCAGAAGTTCTTAGAAATATGAAGATACTCAAACTTCAAGCATGGGATCATCAATACCTCCAAAAGATAGAAAGCTTAAGGAAAGTGGAGGATGATTGGTTATGGAAGTCGTCAAAATTATCAGCATTTTCAGCTTTTCTCTTCTGGTCATCACCTACCCTGATCTCTCTTGTGACGTTTGGACTCTGTACCATGCTGGGGATAGAATTGACAGCTGGAAAAGTCATATCTGCATTGGCTACCTTCCAAATGCTACAAGATCCTATATTCAGTCTTCCCGATATACTCTCTGCATATACACAGGGCAAAGTCTCAGCAGATAGAGTCACTTCGTACCTCCAGGTAGAAGAAATACAGCAGGATGCCATCATTTATGTTTCTAAAGATCAGACAGAATTTGATATAGAGATAGAAAATGGAAAGTTCAGTTGGGTCTCAGAGTCAAGCAACCCATCTCTTGATCAAATAAACTTGAAAGTGAAAAGGGGGATGAAGGTGGCAATTTGTGGGACTGTAGGATCGGGGAAGTCCAGTCTGCTCTCATGCATTCTTGGTGAAATAGAAAAGCTCTCTGGGACAGTGAAGATCAGTGGTACAAAAGCCTATGTTCCTCAATCTCCTTGGATACTGTCAGGAAACATCAGGGATAATATTCTCTTCGGAAATGAATACGAAAGTACCAAATATAACAGAACTGTTAATGCATGTGCTTTGACAAAAGATTTGGAGTTGTTTCCGTGTGGTGATTTGACTGAAATTGGAGAAAGAGGGATAAATATGAGTGGGGGACAAAAGCAGCGGATACAAATTGCCCGTGCAGTTTATCAGGATGCAGATATTTATCTCCTCGATGATCCTTTCAGTGCTGTTGATGCTCATACAGGAACTCAACTCTTCGAGGTTAGTCAGGACATTAAATAATGGGTGAAAAAGTGAGAAGGCTAAAATATCAGTTGTCTACTAAACTGATGTTCTTGTAATGACCTTAAGTGGATCTCTCTAACAGATCATTGTAATTGTTTTTTAACATTGTGTAGGACTGTCTGATGGGTGCTCTCAAAGAGAAGACTATAATTTATGTAACCCACCAAGTTGAATTTCTACCAGCAGCAGACCTCATTCTGGTGAGCAAAGTTCCTAGTGTTCTTAGTTCTATTTATTGACTTGACCATTCATGCTGTGATTACATAATTTCTGGATACATGGGGGATTTTCTCAGTCAGATTTACCTTAGCTAACCAATCTTATTATTGATCAACTGAACTCTATCATTTGAAACTTTTGGAGTTGGAGAAAATATTCGAACTTCTGAGTTACTGTCTAATAGATGTGCCTGTTTGCAATCGGCATTCCGCAGGTGATGCAAAATGGGAAAATTATGGAAGTTGGTGGATTTGAAGAACTTCTAAAACAAAATTTTGGATTTGAAGTTTTAGTTGGGGCACATAGTCAAGCTCTCGAGTCAATTATCTCTGTTGAAAACTCAAGTAGAATATCTCAAGTTCCAAATTCTGAAAATGAATTTGATGGAGATTTTATCACAAATGCTGATCTTCATAATTCCCAAATAAATCAGAACAATTCCGCACAGCAGATGACAGGAAAGGGGGGGGAACTAGTGCAAGAGGAAGAGAGAATGAAAGGAAGCATTGGAAAAGAAGTGTACCTATCTTACTTGACCACCATAAAAGGAGGAGTCTTTGTCCCAATCATAGTCTTAGCACACACATTGTTCCAAGCACTTCAGATAGCTAGTAATTACTGGATGACGTGGGCTTGTCCAACTACAAGGGAGACAGAAGCAAAAGTCGGGATGAATATCGTACTACTAGTATATTTTCTGCTTGCTATTGGAAGTTCACTAGGGTTGCTGCTGCGAACCACGTTATTAGCAGTAATAGGGCTTCAAACAGCACAAAAGCTCTTCAAAGATATGTTATACAGTGTACTCCATGCACCAATGGCATTCTTCGACTCAACCCCAATTGGAAGAATTCTAAGCCGGGTAACTATAACTTTAAAATCATCCTGAATAATGCCTTTGATCTAATTTATTTTTGCTAGAAAACACACATTACACTTGCAATATATTGATGAAATGTGACAAAGACACAGGTAACTAGAAAGTTCTAAAATATTGCACTAAGTTATTCATAATATATACCAAGACTGGATCCTAAGACTGAGAAACCTCACGTATATTCTCTCCTGCCAGGCATCATCTGATCAAAGTATCTTAGACTTAGCCATGGCTGTAAAGTTAGGTTGGTGTGCGTTCAACATAATTCGGTTGCTAGGGACAATTGTAGTAATGTCTCAAGTAGCATGGGAAGTATTTGCCATTTTTATACCTGTTACTGCTGCCTGCATCTGGTACCAAGTAAGTCATTTCACCTTTTAGATTTGAAACCTACTAATTTGTGTAATACGTGATTACTAATCAAGTAATTTCTGATTATGTTAGCAATATTACACACCCACAGCACGAGAACTTGGACGGTTAGCAGGGATTTATGAAGCTCCAATCCTCCACCACTCTGCAGAATCTCTAGCAGGAGCAGCAACTATCCGTGCCTTCAATCAAGAAGAGCGGTTTTTCAATACTAACCTTTGTCTTATTGATGGCCACTCAAAGACATGGTTCCATAACTCTTCAGTTATGGAGTGGCTCGCCTTCAGATTGAACGTGCTATCCCATTTTGTGTTTGCCTTTTTATTGGTATTGCTGGTGACTCTGCCCAGAGGAGTTATTGACCCAAGTGAGTTTCTCTGATACGCTTGAAATGTAATGTGCTTCTTAAACAAAAGCTGGAAGTCTTGAGTTAAAACTGTGAATATATTTATACAAACTGAAAATTGTTTCAGCACAAATTTGAAATTCATGATCAAATAGACCAAGTTTCCAACAAATGTCAAATTATCTTAAAATACAAGATTATTTCCTTTAACCCAAATGAAATAGGAAGAATAAAGTATTCATGATGAATTGACAGGCAATGCGGGCTTGGCAGTATCGTACGGGATAAACTTGAACTCGTTACAGGCTTTAATTATATGGAGTATATGCAGTGCACAGAAAAAAATCATTTCAGTAGAAAGAATTCTTCAGTACTCGAAGATAAAAAGTGAAGCGCCTCTTGTTATTGAAGACTGCAGACCACCAAGCAATTGGCCGCAAGAGGGGAGTATTACTTTCAAGAATTTGCAGGTAAGACTCTGCACAATAAATAATTAAAAAAAAACATAAATCTAGAACTTTGTTAAAGAAGTTTGAAGATTTTTGAGTCATTAACCTCAAATTGTTCTCATCCAATGAAGTTCTTTAAAGTTCAAGTTTGACATGTATACAAAACAATTAACTCTTGTGCGTACTATGTTCTTCAATTGCACACCATTACTTCTTAATGAGCTTGAACCTGTTGTAGATCCGTTACGGGGACCATCTCCCGGATATCCTGAAAAACATCAGCTGCACCTTCCCAGGAAAGAAGAAAGTGGGTGTTGTAGGAAGAACAGGCAGTGGGAAATCAACCCTCATACAAGCAATTTTTAGGATAATTGAACCTAGAGAAGGAAGCATTATGATAGACAATGTTGACATTTGCAAGATTGGCCTCCATGACCTGAGATCAAGGCTTGGTATCATCCCTCAAGACCCGTCCTTGTTCGAAGGAACAGTGCGAGGAAACCTCGACCCGCTAGAACAGTACTCTGACCAAGAAATTTGGGAGGTAGTCTTTCTTATCTGCAAATTTGAGATATAATCTTCTAATTGAGAACTAGTAACTAGCTAACTTTACAATCACCAGCAAACCATGGAGAATTAACCGTCTCTTTTCTTTCTTTTGCGTCTTCAGGCTTTAGATAAATGCCAATTAGGTGAATTGGTGCGTTCGAAGGAGATGAAGTTGAATTCTCCAGGTTGGTTTGTCAGTGTGGAATACTGAAATTTAAGTTGAATTCTATCCTTCCGCTTTGCTAGTTCATCATGGTTTGAATTCTATTGATAGTGGTTGAAAATGGGGAAAATTGGAGTGTTGGTCAACGACAGCTATTTTGTCTCGGAAGGGCATTGCTCAAGAAAAGCAACATACTGGTACTCGACGAAGCCACGGCGTCTATCGATTCGGCTACTGATGGCATTATACAGAACATCATTAGGCAGGAGTTCAAAGATCGAACAGTGATCACCATAGCTCATAGAATCCACACGGTTATTGATAGTGACTTCGTTTTAGTCCTGAGTGATGGTGAGTAGTAAGTGCTTACTCCTTTTATGTAATTTGGCTACGAAGTTACTAAAAGTGAACCTCATTGCTTCTAATGAACAGGAAGAATCGCCGAGTTCGACTCGCCCGGAAAGCTACTAGAAGGAGATGATTCCTTGTTCTCCAAACTGATAAAGGAGTACTCCATCAGATCTCAGGGCTTCAATAGCTTGGCGAATCAAAACCATTGACAGATTCTTTAAGAACAAGTAATTGGTGGAGCATTGAAAAATCAGAATCTGCAGTACCAGTAGTGTTGCGTTTTGCGCAAAATTTTGTCTGAAGCTTAGAACTGCTTGAGGCACTTTTTCAATAGCTTTAACGAAATGTTGTGGTAATGTTCCATTCAGAACTTTTTTTTTTATCTATCCATACATCCGTGCAACATTTGGTGCCAAAAAATACAAATACATATGAATCAATTTCTTAAGTACAGTACCATTATGAAATTTAAACACATTCTCACAATTTACCTGCTCTTTGGACCAATAAACCTATGATGGTTCCTTTATCCATTCAAAATTTCTTTTTTTTTTATAAGAAAAATATATTTTAAAAATAAGGTTATGTTGTCTAGAGTCATTTTGTCCAGGCTATTTAGGTGAGGAAAGACCATTTCTGTGGAGGCGTAAAAGAAATTGCACGTGTTGATAAGAGAAGGGAGAGTTCCTCTTCAAATCATTTGAACTAAAATTGATTATTGTTGCTATCAGGTTCAACTACTTATGAAATATTAGCCATAGAATTTTCAATATTTATAGACGAGCAATTATAAACCCTCAGCTTGTATTTACATTTCAAAATAGGGTTGAGATCGAGGTCGGAGGGAGATTTTTCAGGAGGTGAGGTGGTGAATCAAGGACGGGGATGGGGGTACATTCCCTACCCCAATTCATTGCTGATCTCGATTTGGAGAAATCGAGGAATGGAACAAGATCGGAGATTAAAAGTCCCATTAACTACCTGTCGATCCCTAGTTTTGGTCACCATAAATGCATATTTTTTGCTTCCTATTTGAAAAATAATAATGATTCGAGGAAGAGTAAGCTAAAATGTGAAAGAAGAGGAGGAACCAGCAATCATATAAGATCGAATTATCGAGATACATGAAGAAGCATACATCGACCAGCTGAACCGTTCATCAAAAGATGGATACGATATGATACGATTGATGCGTAATTCTCTTACTAGATAAGATGATAAAAGTCCTTTGGTCATTTTTAATCCTTCGGGTCATGTTTCATTTTCTGTTAGGTCTCTGTCTTTCCGATGCTACCTACAAAGAATAATAAAGATCTAAAACAAGTTATCTTTGCAAAGCCTCAGTCCCCTAATAGTAAGTTAACAGTGAATAATTATAAACGCTAACAATAAACATGTATACTACTGAAGGCACTGAACTAAAAGTTTAGGAAGGACAGACCTACACCACATCCTCTCGCCATTGCTCGTCCTGCATGTACTTCTCTGCAATCTTTTCTTCCAACACTCGCAACCTCTATCGCCACCACCACCAAGCTCTACGACGTTTCGCCTCTTGACACATACCCATGAGGTGAAAATCACCACAAACCCAAAGCCTCAAAAAGTACCTCTTCATATTCAGAACTGGGAAAGAAAATTTCTAAAACATCACTTTGAGGTGGCTTTTTTTTGTTTCATGTTTTGGAATACTAAGAATAGGGACAAGTAGAGGAGAAAGACTGCTAAGAATTGGAAGACCTAAATGACCCCTTGGTAGATTTTAATTGTCTCGAGTAATTCTTAAAATACATGGAATAAAACAACATTAAGAGGCCTTGGGAGGTTCTTCTGGCAGATCATCTTCATCATGGTAGATGTTCTCAGCCATCTGCCAGATTTGGAGTATGTTATCTTCAGCTACGCTAGCAACGACCCAATCCTCACAGGGATTCCAAGAAAAGTCTGATATTTTACTGGTGTGACCGCCGTGAATAAACAGCAATTCTGGTGGGCCATCTTCCGCATCCTCAGGCGTCTGCTCCTCGTCGATCCTGCAGAATAAAATCAAATAAGAACTCCAATATGTGTGCGCATAATTTGGTGACAAGTTAAACAGGATTTAGTTTATGGCTTAGCTTATCTCATAACAAAGATTTTTTATTAGATATCTCTCACCGACTTTAGCATGCAGTCGTTAATCAAATAAAATATCCATGTGACTACAGTTTGTTGATAAAATTACCTGCTAAGGTCCCAAACCATGAGTCTCCTACCAAGACAACAAGAAGCTAAGATCGTTTCGTTCTTTGGATTCCAGCCAACCTGAAAAACCTCCTCCCTACAGCAGAAGACAGCAGTATAGAAGTTCAAAAACAGGTGCACAGCAGCAATAAACTAGATTTTAAAATCTGTCTAGACGTGTAGCTGTGGGTGCAGTGTGTTTCCAACAAGCAAAATAATGGTTAACGTAAGGAAGATGCTTACTTGTGACAGTCAAAGGTATGGAGTGCAGAGCTGATCTTACGTAGATCAAACAACTTCACCGTCTTATCAGTTGATCCAGTGGCTACTACCCACTCATTAAAGGGATTGAACGCCAAGCAATTAACCTGAGACAAAATTACAATGGAAATTTATTCTATCAATGCCAAAAGACCAGCATCTATTTCATTAGCACAGTGAATATAGCGCCACGTGATTTCAACCCAAAAAGGGAAAAGAGCCACAAAAGGAGCACTTCCTCGCATGGAAGACACCAAACATTTACAAGTGCAGTTTATTTTTATCTATCTTCCAGTAGCACCTACCTCACTTTGATGAGCAACCACAGACTGTACAGGCTTATTAACTGTAGGAGTTCGCAGATCCCATACGAGTAGGTATTGATCATCACCTACTGAACCAAATAAGTACTCATGCCTCAGATGCCATGCAACATCTTCCACAACACCTTCATGAACCTATTATAGAGATCATATCAAATATTCAAATCATAGTTAGAACCAAAATAGCACAACACAATAGCTATAACATGTTCCACAAGTTCTTTCCTAGGAATAATTATTACATTATAGTTCACCATTCAGGACATAAACTGCAAGGGCTCTCCACTAGCTAAGTACCATAAATTATAAATGGCCATCTGAATCAAAAAATTATACACTTGTACAAGTTCTAAACAAGTCCTTGTCTAAGATCCAAACAAAACATTATGTAGCTGGATCCCCTTGATTGAAAGCAGTACAACAACATCAAATTTAACATGAGATGCCTGATTATTATTAACAAGCATGTAAGCACGAAAACACAACCTAAATTATTGTAAGAAGAAGGCCTGGTTAAGAGGAGCTCACCTTAAAAATTTGCATAGCCTCAAGGGTTTTGTTCTTCGGAGTAGCATTAATGTCCCATAAACAAATCTGTGCATCATCAGAGCCACTAAGTAAATGGCCCTGTTTGAACTTACTCCATGATAAACCATAACCTTCAGTATTGTGGCCCCTCAACCGTAAGTCGGGATTGCATGTACCATCTAGAGGTGGTTTGGATGGGTGTTTACTATAGTCAAAAACAAAGACTTCGGCACTGACAGTCTTTGTGGCAATGATAAATTGATTTTGAGGCATATAACGGGCTCTATTGACCTCGCCATCGTGATTTATTTGCTGGATTATTTGTACCTGACTTGAGAAAAGAAACAAATTAAGTTTGAATCTCTACAACAAAATTCCATCAACCGATCTACTTTGAATCTACGAATCGCAGTGCCTAAAGATAGTATATGTTCCCTTTCAAATTTCCCGCTACCTTACACTTTAACCACTGGAGAAAATTCCCGTAATGGTGATTAGAAGGAACTACTCCGAATGCAAATTCCCTCCAACTCCAGATTAATATTTCCAGTAAACAAAATTCAACTTTACGTTCTTTCTCTCCACGAAAAGGGTAAAAATACACAAACCTTGCCGTTAGCACACCCGAAGCCACCCGCATCGGCACGGTCGTCGTCGTAATGGCGCGCATCGTTCTCGGAATCCTCGAGCGGAAGCTGAACTTGAGCGAGCATGAGGTAATTGGGCTCATTCTCGGAAGTATGAGTCCCCAAAATCATCTTCTGAACGGAGTAATCCTTGCCGGGAGGCTCCTCCCGGTCCGGCAACCACTCGACGGTGAGAGAAGGCCACTCTAGGGCATGAGTGATGACCAAATCGTAGAGAAACGGAGTATTCTTCTTCCATATCTTGTACTCCTCGTTTATCAGCCGCTCCTCCATTTCTCCACGCATCCCCTCGTCGTCCTTCCCCATTGGAGCCTTCGATGAAGCAAAATTCGCAGAGTTTGAGAGCCGATTGCGTCGGTGAGAAGCAGAAGTAGGGGTCTCCTCTGAGTTTCCCGGTGAAGTTCCCGCCAATATGTCTCCACCAAAAGCTAGGGCTAAAATTAGAACCCTCGTGAAATTTTCGAGGACCGTGGCATTTAATATATTTTTAATGAACTGTTTTTTTTGCCCTTTTTTTTGTGAAATGAAATAAACTATTCTGATTATATTGAAATAAAAGTTAATTGCTTGATTTGACTTTTTAAATTTTAAAATAACTGATGTAGGATTAGACTATTTAATATGAAGTGATATACTAAATAAAATGATATATATATATATATATATATATATATATATATATATATATATATATATATATATATATATATTAAACTGAGATACGGGTGTAAATTCTCTCCCTTTAGAATATACATTCGCATTTGAAAGAGGTTGACAATAAGTTCTTTCATCATTCGCTTGGGAAATGAAGTAGGTCAATCTCTTTTTGGCTTTGACCAAACGCTTTTTCCAACTTGATATCTGGATATTATAACTACGAAGAAGACTTTTCGAATTTTGATTCGTTTCACCCGGGAGATTGGCCGAGTTAGTAGGACAGATTTTGGCCCCATTTTTTCATTGGGTTCGAGTAGAGACCAAAGGTCTTGAAGGACCAATCAAACTATTAGCTTGGTGGTAGAGCGTGCCTCTAATAATTGCATCGTTGTGCCTGGACTATGAGCCTTGATTAAATTAGGCTTCGCAGCACCCTGAATCAATTAAAAAGTTTACTTGATTTACCAACAGGATCACGAGTACCATACCGTATCATATCCAATCGTCAAGCGAAGTATTATGGATGCAATTATTTTAAGTGGACGCTAATCCAATTTATCTTAAATCAAACTATAAAGCTTTTCTTTTCTAAGGAAAAAAAATAATGATATAGTGAACCTAAAAATCATTGAAAAAAGTAATTTATATATCCAATTTGTACAAAATGGCAATATTAAATCCAGTTCTTCTACTAAATTTCTTAGTTCAATGCATATTAAATATTGGTTAGAGACAGGTACCAATATAGAGATGAAAAATACTCCATATCTAATTATCCAATATAATATTACAAAAAAAAATCATAAATATTTGATATAACTTTTGGAAGGTAGGGTTTAACAAATTTAAATGTTAGTCTGATTAATCGTATAAAACGTATAAAAGATCGATAACTCAAAGAGAAGCATTAAAATGCACCAAATTCTGAACGTTTCCCTTCATTTCTAAACAAATATAGTCACACCCTTTTAAGAAAAAGATATAAGCATCTATTTGTTGACTTGAGATAAAATAAACATAAAAATAGAAGAATAAATATATTTTTCGGTCCGTGGGGAGTTTTTTCAGTTTAACCGCGAACATAACATACAAAAGAAAATAGATTGGGAAGTGTCAAATGGCCATGCCTAAAATGTGAAGAAAGAGTAATGCAAAGTCGCCTAGCTCAATGGGTTAAAGATACATATGTTTGACTAGTTCGAATTCTCGACTCACCTGTCGTAAAAAAAAAAAAGAATGGAAAGTCTCACTGCATGCCCCAAAAATATCACAGTAGTATGTATACCTCTGCGTATTTCTATCACCATACAAAATGAGCAATAATTGATTTTACATAATTTGAGATCCTTCCTCATTATTTCCACTCAAAAGAGGAAGCTGTTGAAGGTGGATGGTTACAAAGCAAAACAGGAACTAAGTTCATCAAGAATCAGCATATAATGGAACAGGCAAAAAAGGGAAGGGTGCAACCGAGGCGTACGCAACAGGCGGTCGTCCTTGGGCGACACCTTTGCTATACCCTGTCTTGTTATTTCGTGCAATATATCCATCCTCCTCCTGTGCTCGACCATCCAACATCCTCTCGAAACTATCTTCTTCCATCGTCTGCTCGTTGTCAGGAAGACGGTGGAGCAGAAGTCCTAACATGAAAACAGGAAGGTACAAGAGGCTAGCATGAAACATCCTTCTTGCTTTCTGCATCGTGCAGTGACGGTAGAAAGAAAATGCGGTCGCACTGATTGCAAGAGTGAGGATAGATGATTCTAGGCAGAACCAACCTGAAGTGATGTCCCCTGAAAAGATTAAAATTCAACAAGGAAATACCGGTGTGAATTCGGTCGTGTTTAGGGACAAAAACAGGTATACAACACAGTGGTCAAAGGTATTATAGCTTAACGAGTACTAGAACAACGTGACACCAAAATTTAGTCCTTTTAGATCAGTACTATACATTAGTTCTACACTGTGTACTCTGCCTATGAGGAATGAGCTATTGTGACTTGAAAACTACTCATAACTACTTATAATTTGCTTGCATCATGATGAAATCTGCTGCTGGTAACCAAATATAAAGAGGGTGTGATTGTAACTTACAATCATAAGCCAAGAATCCCAGAGGAACGAGATACAGACAGTTTCTTAGAGCCACTGCGGCAGTTCTCTTGCCAGAAGCATCAGCAAGAGAATACATTTTATACCTAAAATAAAAGAGAGCAGGCTAAGAGAAGGAACCACAAATAGTCCCTATAACCAAACAACTTCTCATTATGTGTTTTAAATTTTGAAAAAATATGAAAATTGTGAACCACATGAAGCCGCCGTAAATTTCATATTGTTAAGCTTCTAATATTAAATTGTCAGGACGTTTGGCAACCTATGACAATTTAATCTAAACTGAAAGTAAACTTGAACCCTTAAAACTCTTCCAAATTTCCAATATATTTCAAATCATCCAGGTGCATGAACACTTTTAGCAAGTATTCATTATAACACTGATGATAATTTGATGGGAAACAATTAACATACCAATAAGTATTGCAATCATAATATGTCCTTACCCTCCAGCAGCATAATCGTCACGGCATAAATATGCAAGAGCCATAAAATGGGGTATTTGCCAAAAGTAAAGAGCAGCAGGGAGAATCATTGCGTTCAAAGATATTTGTCCTGAAGCAGCAGCCCACCTGAAAAACCACATCAAAGAGCTTTCATACTGCAAGGCTGCAAGCTAAGGATTATGACTATGTTCAATATGATATCATTACAAAATATTAGTTTTAAGTTTTAATTCAGATGTTTCCTTGATCATGATCATTTAATTGTCCTTGGCAACAATTAGGCTCGTGTCTATTATTGTCCTGTCTTTTGGTTTGTGTCTACAATGCCATAATCAGCATCTATTTTGTATACTTTAGTCTAGTAACTTAAAATGGAGAAAATACCACATAAAAATCTAATGTTTGTAGATAATCAAACACAAATAATCATATTACGCATACTAAAGGACCCATAGCTAAACTTCATTGTCACTTGAACTGCAATGTACACTCAAATCCTAACAGTACTTATGCAGCAATATCTTACAAAAACCACATAGATCAAATGAGAAAAAACATGAGACTCCACTTGTTGTCTAGGATGAAAGGGTTATTTAGTCGGAAGATTTAATTGTCAAATTTGAAAGGTAAGGGCCCGATATGTAAAAACCTCTGTTTTCTAAAGGGGGAACATCTATTTTACTTAAAAAAACATATAGGCGGAACACTGGGTAAAAACGTACCCAAGAAGTGGTGGAATAGCACCAACTATGGCCCCAACCCATGTATTAACAGGGTGAATCTGCTTAAGTGGGGTATATACAAATGCATAGAGAATCAAATTTGAAGCTGCAAGACCAGCTGCCAAGATATTAGCCTGCAACAACCTTGTCGATAAAGATTGAAATAAGCATATTGGCTCATAGTCAGTGGAAATTGGCAACATATTTATAAATAATGGTTGAATGACAATAAAAAGATGATGAGCGATTTATCTTGTCACCTTGCTAGCTAACATAACAGTGCCAGCTAAACCAACAGAAGTTGCCCAGGTGACTGCATGTGGTACTGTGATGCGCCCTGAGGGTAGTGGTCTTCGTTGTGTTCTCTTCATTTTAGCATCATTGTTTATTTCGAAAACCTAGTTAAATAAATTTCTAATTAGTGTAACTAACAAGAAAATTACACGAACATGGAAATCTAATGCTTTTGTAGATAAGCAGCTTAAGTTTCTCTCATGACTTCCAAGGAATAGTGGGTGTTGATATCAAGGTCGCGCTGTTATTATCTTAGTGGAAGTCAATTTCAGCCAAAAAACAACAACAAACCAATAGGCAAAGATGTTGCAATTATTTTCCATGATATCATCCAGAATCATAAACAGGTCCGTGTTTTATTAGTTCTAATCTTTTACAACATTGGCTATTATGTCACAAGTCTCAAAACTCGAAGTGATCACCTAAGAAGCATGGACACGAACAATATACATGAATACGATGCAACAATTACAAAGTGAAGCGCTATTTTCTAAAAAATTAAGACACAAATACAACATGGGAACTTTTTAGAGTTTTCAATTTACGATGCAAGAAAGCGGATTTAAGGTTTCAATATCACAAAATAAAATTGACGATGGAAAAAAAACCTGATTTAAGGAGTTTGCAGATGCTGCAACCATCATGGTACCAGCACAAGTCCAACAAAGTCCCCCAAGGTCCATAGCACTTCCACTCCCTAGAACAAACCCAGTCCCAGAAGTTGCAACAACCAGCATGCTGCAACAGATGTGTAAATCCGAGACAAGATACAATAGTCATAAACATGAATTTAGAGGTACAAATTAGTTCATGCAAGTAGGAAGAAAAGAAAAAACTTTTCATGAGAACAAGAACCTCCATTGAAGAAAGAAAGAGATACAGTTAAGGTTATTTTTCAACCTAATAATATCAACCAATAAAATATCCTTAACTCTGGCATAAAATACTAACGTCGACTCGAACTGATGCATTTGCATGATGAAGACAAATAATACTCGAAGTTCCTAAAATAGAAGCTATAATTATAAAGAAAAAATCCAAAACAAAAAAAAAGAAAGATAGACACGAGACGACCCAATAGTTACAATATATTCCTCGTCAGAATTTTGGGATTCATTGAGATTCAATGCTGCCCTTTGGTGCTGTAGCTCAATTGTTGCAGTATATTGCAAAGCCCATGATACGAAATCAAATTTTACTTAAATTAGAGTAAAATTAAACCGTAAAAGCACGGTCAAACACTACCAACAAATGAACACAATCAATTTAACAGTAACAAAGTACCTAAGGCGAGCCTTGGAGAGCTCCCAGTAACAGCGACCATAATGGCGAGCTAAATCCACGACCTCCCTGGCTCTAGAAACCGATGCGGAAGCCAAAGACGACGGATCAGCAACACTAGAACATGCTCGAAATCCATAAGAATTCGAAAACCCTATTCTGATGGGATCCGAAGAGGACGGCGACGAAGATAACGAATTGAACAACGATGATGAATATGGATGGAGGGCGCGAAGAAATGGACGAGCAACGCCGTTGTGACCATAGAAAGTGGAAGCGGAGGGTGTGGTTTTAGGGCTGGGAGAGGAAGACGGTGACCGGAGTTTGGATGAGAAACTCCGGGAGCTTCTCCACATGGCGGCAGCGGCGATGGCGCGGGACGGATTTTGGGATCTGACGCGGTCGAGAAACAGACCTTGGATGCCCGAGGCTCGACAAATATTATATTATTCATATTTTCGTTGATTTTCTTTTTTCAAGTGGATTTTTCTAAAACAATATATCGAATTTGTAGATATTTAATGTAAAATATGTCTTGGGTCAATAATTTCAATGTAATCCTATATATTATTGGTTTTTCTTTTTCCTGAGAAAATATATTATTGGTTGATAATTAATTATTTCGATGGAAGTCTGCCAAATATTTTTACTCATTAGTGGATTAAATACTATGATTTATTGTAAATATTTTTTAAGAGTTATTGTGATTAACTAAATTTGAATATGTTTGTAGTTTTTTTTAGCACAAAAATACGGAGATGGAGATTCAACCTTTAGAAAATTAGCAAAATGTCATCCATTTTTTTTTTATTATTACTTGTACTTTTTAGAGCTGTGACCTTAGTTTATTATTATTATTAATAAGTTTTAACAATTGCATGATGAAGGATTAAATCATTGACTTATGAGAGCCATCGATGAGCCCATTAAACTATCCAAACAATTTGGATAGTCCATCTTAAGTTTTCGTCAATCTACTAAATATTATGTCATATTATTTTACCGTCAACCAATTTTAACATTACCAACATTGATAACTTAAATTAAAATTTTCTAAATATCAAATATTAAATTTAAAAAATATACAAAAACATCATAAACGAAATAAAACTAAAACATATATTTTGTTTACAAAAGCGAGTATAGCTCGGGGTAATTGACATATATCTCAAACCAAAAGGTTGTGAGTTCGATCCTTTACCCCACATGTTGTACTAAAAAACATATATTTGATCATTTAATTGGACTTTAAAGTTAAAATTAACCAATTAAACTAGACATGGGAGTGAAGAGTGATACAACTTTTTTACATAATAATGAAACATTGAATTAAATGGAAGAGATGAACAAAAGTTTTACTCAACACACCCACATGGTCAAGTAAAATATCTCACAACACCCGCTCAACTGGAGAAGTAATCGGAATCATCTCTCTAGTCTCATAGCACCAACGGTTGATCATCCCTTCAACCGGATCTACGGCCACAATTGTCCTATCCAATTTCAACGACTTCGATCAAATCACCTTGAAAATATTTATTTATTTATTTCTCCAATCAAATAATTTGATCAGACACCATCCAAATCAGATCGAACGGCGTGGATTCCACTGGCAACTACGCTCTACCTCTCCGCCGCCACCGTCGACCGGAGAAAAACCCTAGACGGCGGCGTCCGCCTCCCGGCTCTCGAATTTGATGTACTTGTACCATTTCGCGCAGAGGATGTAGACGGCGAGGTCCGCCGCCGTGAGGGCGGCCAAGAGGAAGAAAAATCTGTCCAAATGGCCTCTGTTTAGGTTTCCGGGGATCCATCCCGGCATGTTATCGGTCGCCGAGATCTTCATCACGATCGTCACCAGCAAGCTGCTCACGTAGTTTCCGAACGAAATCGACGTCATACACAGCGCGCTACCGAAGCTCTTCAGTCCGTCCGGCGCCTGACTGTTGAAGAATTCCAGTTGTCCGACGTACATGAAGACCTCCGATGCGCCGATCAGAACGTACTGCGGAATCTGCCAGAATATGCTTAAGGAACTCGATCCATCGCAGTGGAGGCAATCTCTTGTGGCGTGTTTTAATCTGAAAATCTCGACGGTTCCGGCGGATACCATGGCGCAGATTGCGATTACGAGGCCGATCCCCATTCTTTGAAGCTCGGTGACGCTTGATTTGGTCAATCGAGCGTAGACTGGATCGATTACTCTGCGGTAGATGAAGATGAACGCTGCGACGCTGAGAATGTCGAAGCTGGACATGCTTGCGGGAGGGATGTGGAACGTGGAGATGTTGGTTCTCATGGCGGCGCCTTGCTCGACGAACAGAGAAGCCATTTGAGTGAAGACGACGGAGTAGAGGATCGTGCAAAGCCAAATCGGCAGGAGTCTGAGGATGCATTTGACTTCTTCGACTTGAGTAACAGTACAGAGACGCCATGGATTCCGAGCTCCGTCCTCCAATTGGTCCGACTCCGACGAGGTAATTACTGCTGCTCTATCCAAAAATCTGTAGAACAATGACACAATCACAGATTCACAAATCACATTCACTTTTCTCAGAAACAGAACAATGACAAAAACTCCTTCAAATAAAACAAAAATTGATCACGAAACTCACTTGAATCCATTGGTATGGAGAATCTTCCTAGCTCCGTTGCTGACTAATTCCTTGTCATCTTCGTCAAACAAACCCTCTGAATCAGTCATGATCTGAACCTTCCACTTTGTGGTGGCTGCAATCACCACCTGAGAGACCCTAGAGAGGGGATTTCCTTTAGGAGTGAAATGTCTGTACCTAGGGATTCCACATAGGAACAAGAGCAAAGCCATGGCAGCAGAGGCTGTAGAAGCCCAAAAACCAAGGACCCACATGCCTTCATCCTCAAAGTAACCCAAAATAGTGTTGGAGAAGAGGGAGCCAAGGTTGAGAGCCAAGTAGAAGTAGCTGAAGAAGGCAATTTTGGAGAGGCCTTCTTTAGGGTCCTCTTCATCAAACTGGTCTGCCCCAAATGTGGCTATGTTGGGCTGGTAACCTCCATTGCCAAGGGCAACCAAGTAAACAGAGAGGTAGAACAGAGCCATGTGGAAGGAGGAACGGGAATTGCATGGAGTTTGTTCATCACCACACCCCTTTGGTCTCACCAGAAATATGTAGGATGTTATTGATAGTGAAGCAAGACCCTGTTCAAAACGAAAAAAAAAAAAGGTAAACAAAACTTGTTCTTTCTCCATATTTACTTTCAACAATACTTAGATGTTTACGGGTCAACAATGTTTAGATGTTTACATGTCAGTATCCATCTTTGTGCGACTACCAATAGAGTTTAATGATCGTCACGTAAAAGATGGGCGTCCATCGATATTCTCCTAAGTATTGTTCTTACATCGTGACTTCTTATCCATTTGTTTAGATGTCCTGTCTATTGAAAGATAAATCATGACAAGAAACTAATGGCCAGATATTTTTTACTTATACCCAAAAATTTCTTCATTGTTTTACATTTTCTTAAAAACAAACTTTAGCTAATATTGGATGCATTAGTGTTTTGTTGTCAACGTAAGCCTAGTTTTAGCGATCTTCTTTGTAGTTGAAGGTTCGAGTTTCCTCCTCCAAAATTGAAATGGTATATTGAAAAAAAATATGTTTTGTTTGACTTGGTTAGGCTTCTACAACTCAAGTATATGGGAGTTGCTATACTCATCTTTTATGACTGTTAAAATAATTGTTTAGTCTACACACTGAAGATAGTCAACACAAACTCAACTTCTCATAGCTTCTCTTTAATAATTCCAATGCAAATTATGCAAATCTAAGCTTTTTACCACTAGATTTCACAAATTCAGCCTTATGAGCCAAACAAACATTTCTAGTAGTTTGTTTTATTACTTTGTATTATTACATCAATATTTGTTATTCAATAAAAAGTTAATAAATGTCATATGTGGGGCCCAAGTTTTTTTTTTTTAATTATTTTTCCTTGATCTAAGCATTATTGGGCCAACACTTTCCATCACACATTTTCCTTGAGCTCACACTTTATTAAACATTGTCTTATGGTTTATATAAAGCATACATTTGCCAAGGCTTATGTCATGAATAAAGGCAGTTTTTTTTTTTCTAATTTTTTTTAACTTTTATATACTTTTTCTCTTTAAACGACATCGTGGGGTCATAAGTACCCACTATAATTTTCAACAAGTGGAGTCATATATTTAGTTGCAAAGTTGAAATCGACCCTATAAATAGTTCCATTTATATTTTTAATTTGAAAAAAAAAAATTCACTACTCAACATTCTGATACCCTATCAAACTACTGTTTATCTTCACATGTCAGAGTATAATTATAAACATTGCCATTTTACTTCAATTATCAGTTCCCCATTGGCCATTTCTAACATTTTTAGACCCACTATTTTGATTTGAATAGTTTTAGTTAACAGCAACCAAAAAAAAACAATAATACGATAAATTGACATGACACCCTCGAACCAAATAACGCGCTACGTCATGTTAGGTCATCGGCATTATTGACATACAAGAACAAAGTATTAAGGACAATAATGATAATTAAATAGTTTAAAATGACTAACTTCAGTAGTATGAATTACCTATGAAAATAAAAAGTTTGGTGGGACTGTTAAAAAAAGTGATCAAGAAAGCATTAAAGGTAGAAGTGATTGCAGTTAAGGAAAAAAGGGGGACTTACAATGACGAAAATAGCCTGGAAAATGGCACAAGTCTTGAACCTTCCCCAGTAGGAATCGCTGAGGAAGGCACCAAGAAGAGAGAAAATGTAGACAGTTCCTGTCCACTTGCTAACGTTGTTGGCCGCCGCGGCGTTGTCCTGTCCCACCACCCGTGTCAGAAACAGCACCAAGTTCACTCCTACTCCGAAGAACGCCAGTGTCGCCAGCCCTTGGTTCACTGCATAAACCATTTTTCATTCCATCAAATAATTTTTCACCATCAATTTTCAACAATATATATATTCTCTTTTTTTTTATTTATTTAAATTTGGTTCATCGATTGAATTGCAGTAAGGTCGGAGGTTCGAATGTTCCAATACACACGTTCTTGCATTTGTTGTCCTAGAAAAAAGACTTTAAGAGTCATGTGTCTAATACGTTTATGATCTTTTAAGAAAAATTTAAAATTCATTGTTACCGTCACTGTAAATATATACTTTAATCTATTAGCTTCGAACCTTTTGAATCTCAATAACATATATTATAAGAGGGATGTAGGTTTTTATTTCACAAATAAAGAAATTAATATACTTGAATCTATTGTCTAACCTAAATTTAGTTTCTTAAAAAAAACTGAACATAGCTTAATTGGTTAAGGTCCGAAGTTCGAGTCACCATCTTACATGTTGCCGAACTAAAATAGATTGTTTTTTAGTCCGATTAGTTATATATGTGTGTGGTCTGCCATGCATGGGCTGGTTTGGTCGGACATACCTAGTATCAGGATTCCTGCGAACCAAGTTCCGGTTTTGTCCCGGATGGCAGGATGGCCGTGTCGGTCGACAGCTCCATCGAGCGTACATGTTTCTTTCTCCGATATCGTCCTCTTCTTCGTCGTCTTCTCTCCAACAGTCTGAAAAAAAAAGTGTCATGTGATTTGTGTCACCCATCAGCTAACTATTTAAAAAAGCACCGAATTTCAGGAATCAGAAGGAATAATCAGCTCAAAGTTCTGAATCCAAACCATATATATATATATATATTCCTTAAAATTATTAAAGAAATAAAAAAAGCTTCAGAGAAGAATTTGGAAAAAAGAAAAATAGAGTAAAGTTTTCTGAACAAACGAAAGTGCTTTTTCACTTTTTTTTTTTTTTTTTGGTTCACTTATGAATCCAACACTGATCCCTAAAACACGTCAAACGATACCCACTCAATGGTACGGCAACACCAACAGCAAAAATTAATAATAATAAAAGTAGAAATAAAAAGTTCCACTTAAAATTTCCCTCTCCCTCATCCTATTCCCACATCATTACTTTTTTATAGAGAGATGTGATTCAAGTTAAAAAAAGGGGGAAACATTTGAAGTAAATATTCTAAAAGAGTGAAATGAAAAATAGAGATTTTTTATATAAATTAATGAATTGTCAAATTATCAAATTAATGGTCTTTACAGCAAAATATTTTTCTTAAAAAAACTGATTAAACARTCATCACCCAGTTCAAATATTCGTAGCTAAATTACTCACTTTTTGATGCGGTGTATTTTTATTAACTACAAAAATGGAGTACAATTCACTTMTTTATTTAATAATACAATAAAAATATACCATCAACCCATATATCTTACGGTTTTGAGCTTTTTTTACTCTTAGAACCATTTTAATATACATAAATTATAAATTTTGCTAGGTTTTTTTTTTATCTTTTTCGACTAAATGATTTAGAATATTAATATCATCTACCATACCAGATTAGTCGAGATACGTATATGTAAATCGATGCAACGCAGGAAGTAAATATAAAGAAGAGATGAAGTGAAAAGTTGTATGGCACAATACAAACCTGACGAAAACAGGAGGTATTGAGACACGCCATTGGGAGGGCGTGCAGTGGAAGTGGAAGAACTTGAGAGAGAAACAACAATGGCGGATTTTTGTGGGAGAAAAAAGAAAACAAAAAGTTAATTTTGGAGAGGATATGATGGATGGATGATGATGAAATGGGAAGAGATGGTTTGGAGAGGTGTATCTGGGGATATGCGATGTGGGATTTGGGATCTATTTATAGACTCTGAGGAGAGAGAAAATCATGAGAGAGAGTGGACAGCTGTGTCGAGAGAGAGGGAGAGGGGATCAGAAGGGAGGAGGAAAGACAGAGATAGAGAATTTATTAATAAAAAAAAACAAGAAAAAAAGAATTTATTAATAAAAAAACAAGAAAAAAGGAAAAAGTGTGAGTTAATGATTCTTTATTTTTGTTCTCTTGAGTTAGCGATCTAGTTAGTGATTTGAACTTCTGATATTTTGGTTGATCACTTGGTTAATATATGATGAGAGTAATTAAAATAGCTAGTTTGAGTAGAAAAAAAGAAAATTTTGATTTATAGGATTTGAGTGGGTGTGATTTTTTTATTAACTAGTAAACAACACCTGCATCGTTTATCATTTTATTACCTAAGAGTAATTTTGTGGTTCAAATACAAATTCTCTCTCAATTCTTCTAATTTTATCTATATTTCTAAATACCATCTCTTAATCTTTACAAGTTTTTCTCTCTCGATCATTACCCTCTCATATTCGCTAATTTTCTCTCTCTCTTTTTAAATATTATCTATATATTCATCTTTGAAATTTCAAATAAACTTAAATAAATGATAATTTGAATAAGAAATTTGATTGGGTGGAGAAAAAATTGTAAGAGTGAATGAGAAAGAAATAATGGAAATGATTATGAGAGATAAATAAAGTTTTCGAGGGAGAGTTAAAATTATTTGAGAAAAGTAAAATTTGTAATCGGAGAGTATGTATTTGAAAATTAAGAGGGCGGYTCAGAGAGGGAGAGAGAATTTGTGGAATTTGAAGAGATTTGGAGACGGATAGATGAATGACACAACTAYCAGTGAAGTAATAGATAAAATTATTAAAATTAAATGGCAAAATAGGAAGATAAAATTTCTCCCAATTGTACTAGATTAGTGGTTAAATCATATTTTGAGTTATGAAACTTTCAACTTTTGTCTGTGGTAATTTTTTACCATTATTAAAACTAACATTTTCAARGTATAAGGAAAAAATGAACAAAAGTTAGAAATACATAACTAATTAGTTTAGTTATACTTCAATTGGTGTTCAGGGATTTTTCTTTTCGTCCGAGAATATAATTGATTAATGTATATCCTATCCATCAAAATAYCTAAGATTTTAATTTGATTGAATTTAATATTTTTGTATATAAAACTATTTTGGTACTTGTGGTTTCTATCCACAAAATTTTACCCTAGATTTTATATAGAGCGATTGTTTCTCMATGCAAGTAAAAATATTATCAATTTAAATTAATTATGATTGGCGTCCTGAATATTTTTATTCTTAAAAATGCCATTTTATAGGAGCAAATCAAAGAAGAAACAAAACCACCTTTGTAATAAATGTGTCTTTTCAATTCCAAAAATACCCCTCAAAATATATTATCACCTAATTAAAAAGAATGAAGGGGGAAGAACTTCTCAAAAAAATAAAATAATATATATGAATTCACCGAAACGAACAAATATCTTTATTATTTTTTAAAGGAATTTTATCTCATCTTTTAATAATGGTGCATATTTATCACATTATCGGTCAATGTTAAAATTGGAAAAAATAAATCAGTGGATACTATAAAATGGCTGTGTCATAAATAAAATAATTATTTTAAAAAATTCACATTAAATCCACACAAAAATAAAGGAAAAAGGTAAGATAAAAAGTGCGTAGGGTGCACAATTTTTTGTAATTACAAATTTTTTAAAAAATATATACTCCATCTAATTATTTAATCATATAGTTGTTCAGATAGAGATAATCTTAGAATCTTAATTAGGTGAATCTTAATTAGGTGATCATTATAATTATAATTATAATTATATATATATATAATAAAGCAAGGTCTAAAAATTAATCATTTCTACTAAAGCTTTCAAATTCATATAATCGTACCTTTAATTTGAATAAGTGTGATAATATATGTATTAAACTCAAACTTTATATGGTTTGGAGAAGTACTAATAAATAAACAAATTAATTGTGCAAATATTGACTTTCATCCAAATTCATGAGTTTTTATAGTTCTTTACATTGTTTATGGGTTAAAATTAGTGGTTAAATTAATAGAAATTAAGCCAAGGTAAAAATTGCCTAGCTTATTTAATTTTAAAGTTTAAATTAATAAATAAGTAAAAAATACTATATATTAATTCCCTCCGTAGTAATATGTTATTGCAATTTTTTAAAACATAAAATAAATATAGTAATTTATATTAGCTTAAGAACAGTTCAATTAATTAATATGTTAACATATATATTATATATATTAATTATTCGTCATATGGTATGTTACGAAAAAATAATATTTAACTCTACTTCTTAACATTTTTCGAGGGTAGAAAAATCTAAAATAATTATTGAACTAAAGAGATTGATGTATAAGTAAACATAATCACGAGCTCGTGGGAAAAATATTCTTAATTAAAAAAATGACCTTTACTTTAATTAAATATTATATAGCTTTAAGATAATTAATTATTTCAACTACTATTTAAACTCAATTTAATTCAATTTCAAAATTTAAGTTATATTGATTGGGTTCATTTTCTTCTTCGAAAGTCATATAATGTGGTTAAACGAAATTATTCGTCTCCCTTTTATTTTTTATATTATATATATACTGTAACAATAAAATTATTCAACATTAATAATGACTTTAAATGAAGCTTTCGGCAGTCAGTTTCAATTTTGCAAACAAAGTTCAAATTAATCAAACTACCCATTGGAAAAACTTAGATTTTTAAGTAACTGACAAAAATCACATATCGGAAAGAAGTCAGAAAATATCTTATAAAGTTTTTGATAAATTTCAAGGTTAATATATGCATTCTACAAAAATATCACAACTTTTTACTTTTGTTAATATAATACAAATTTAACTTTTTTTTTCTTTTTTTGTTTGATGTATCTTGTCCGACAATTGAGTTTGAATATATACCTAAGTTTTGTAAAGTTTTACATTTTTTTTGCTGTATTTATAAATATATATTTATTTTATGTCATTATTGTAATTACCTTGTTATCGTAGAAAAATTACGGTAGTTAGTAAAAATCTTTTATGTATTTCAAAATATGTCACCTATTTTTTAAAATTTTCAAATGTAATACAAATTTTTATTATATCAGTAGTATATCAGATACTCATATCAATAGTATATCGGACACGTAGTATATCAGATGTATATTACATCAYTCCATATACATTCATATCAATAGTAAATCAGATGTATATCACTACATATTGCAAGTATACCAAACATTCATCAGTAGTCTAATATATTACATATATATTACAATTATATACCATTTGAGTAAAATTGTGATTTTAAAATTCAGACTTTCATTTTTTCTTTAAAGGACTATATTTAAAAAAAAACTAAATGTGGTTGCTATTTCATGAATTTTACAAATTTTTTTTGCTATATTTGCAACTAAGACGTTGTTAGAATATAATGTAATAAACAAAGTATAATTATTTCGAATGATATTTATCATTTTCTTTCTTTATTTCTTTCTTTCGCGTTTGGATCGTTTTTCACGTTCCAATAATTATTGTGAGAAATTGAAGTCTTTATTGCAAATAAAAATAAAAATAAAATACAATAAATTATTTGCTTTAAAAAGAATTAGAGATTTTGTTTTTTTATTTGACTTCGAACTTGAGAATCTAATTTCTTGGATCCAATAATATCATCATACACGTCACACATTACATCTTAACATACTGTTCAGCTACATTCAATTCACATAGCTCTAAATAACAATTTAATAATAATAATAATAATAATAATTATTATTATTATTATTATATTACATATATATATTAAGTGTACGAGGGAGAAATTTCAAAATATTTCCTAATAATATTATATTGTCTACAGCGGCACCACCGTAGCTCTATAATTAACATATTTTTTATATCATAAAAAGGTCATAGGTTCAAAATTTTCTTTTGTATTCATGGCTGATAACAACAATAATATTAAGATTTGATGGTACGTTTAAACAAAATTACGTTTTGACACCGTGAATATAACTCAATGATTAAGACACCTTATTCCTTTCCTCAAGTTTGGAGGTTCGATTGACCATCCTCATATTTGTCGTACTAAAGGGGGAAAAAAAAAGAACGGTTGAGTGTTAAACTTAAAAAATATTGATTTTACTTTTAATTTTATTGTCGAACTTGTTGATGTGGAATTTTGATTGAAGTTATACATCAACAAGCGATATGAGGCGGCCCCTAATGTAGGCTAATAAACGACCTGAAAATATAAAGTTGCACTGGTGTCTAGTGTAGTACTCGACCATGTATACCTTGAATCTTAAGTTAGTATTTAGTATAAATTGGTATCGAGTTGAGCTTAGTTTAATGCACATAAATTACTTGTACCTTTAAAAATGTAAGACTTTGTGTTTGGGAGCTTTAATAATTGGCGCTCTGCTCGTTGATGACGTTCGTACTTGTCATTAAGCGGACCTTTAGTCAGTAGTTAGAAGGTACTCTACTAGCAACATTAACGTTAATTATGTCAATCTTCAACATATTTTCTATGAGTCATAATATTTTCCAAGTCGGAAGCAGAGCTGTTGGCACCACTTATTCCTTGTCTTTAGATTGTCCGAGCTAAGACTCGTACACACATGTCTCAGGATAACACATATTTATACTTGATTCTTCATTTAATTTTTTTCCCTAGGACAATTTACGATGATTTGGTTAACAATGTTGAACTCTTTCAATTCACGAGAATATCGTAGAATATATTATATATCATATTATAGGAGTCAAGTTAAATAATTTCTTATCTGTATTTGATCAACATAATTAATTTAATATACCAAAAATGCCTTCGGGAGAGAAAATGGTAGGGATTTAGTTCATGTTTTTGGTGGGAGACAAACAAAAGAGGTGGGCTGCTAGGTTCTATGAAACATATGTG